CGGTTCGACCTCGCTTAGTCATCGCTTAGTAAGCTAGATGTCTAGATAAGTGGCCACACCGGCCACCCAATACACAAGGACATCCATCGCTTCCCACAGGTTATGACCCCTATTAGCTCAAGGAACTCGACTTCTCGCTAGCTCAAGATATGTATAACCGAACCCTGAAGCCCTGAGCAACTTGCTATACCAATTTTCTGCATCTCAAACCCGTACGAGGGGGGTAGCATCAATTTCGTGGATTTACCCCTGGATCGGGACCACAACAAAAGCATCTTTTGCTAGAATGCCACCAAAAGCCTCACGAGGCACTAGATCAAACGAAATACCATTTCAAATGACAACTAGACACCGTATATACGCGCCGGAGACACCCATATCTACCGACCGAAGATCGAACGATTCAGCCGACGAAGAACGATCGGAGGATCAACCATTTAACATAATAGAAAACATGCGGGCAGGGTTACTCCGTCAACTACGCGAGGAGATAGCCCAGCAATTACGAGAAGAGATTAGGCGTGAAATGCATGCAGAGCAAAATCAGCCCTCTACACAGCAGCAACACCAAGAGACCAACCGAGATACCTACGAGCGAAATGCGGAGATTAGGTAGCTAGATCTTGTATACCGTGAGTAGGAACATATCCGGAAGTTAGCCAAATCAAATTTTGGAACCAGAAAACCAACTACTTTGAATGGAAGAGACAACTATACCACATGGCGCGATTCAATTCAAATGGATGCCCATATGATCGAGGCTAAGGAAATCCTTGATCAAATCAAGCCACCAGACGGCAATGAAATCGATATTGCCAGATGGCAGACGAAGAATGAGATCCTACATACAAGGATTCTCCAAACGATTGCATCCCATGTTCGAGAAACAATCAGCTGAGAAGATTCAACGCTAGCAGCAGAAATATGGGCTAGGATTACATCAACCTATGGCCTATCTGCAGCAGAGGAGCGAATTATGACTGTAAAAGCCCTATTGGATATCAATCCTCAAGGCAACTATCCAGCAATGATACGTGATTTCCAGCGAATTGCAGCAAAGCTCCGCAGAATGAATCCATCTACCGATGATTTGATCTACGATATTTTCATTTGTTCCCTAGGTCAATGGAACCAGAACTTCATTCGTACAAAGCTAGATGAGTTCTACTCCAGCGGCCGAGGACCGATCAAGAACCTGGATATAGCAACTCTTGCAGATCAACTAGTTGCTCGTGCACCTTCCTCAGCATCAAGCAACAAATATGTTCCTCAGAATCCTCAAGAATTTAAGCTTGAGACAAAACTCCGATTGAACTCTACTGAATCGAAATATTCTCCCCAAGCGAGACCTGATAGTCAGGATCAAAGACCTACACGTACAAAGATACGATGCCAAGCATGTGGTAGAGGAAACCATAAGCTAGATGACTGTTGGATACTTACCCAGAAAAGGCTCCCAAGCGCCCTGGATATTCAACATCAAATACAACCACAAGCGATGAAAAGAATCAAACAATCAGCAAGGAACTAGTTCTACGGATGCTTAGTCAAGGCGATCAGGCACCTTTAATTCCTTCAAAACGGGTCCTTGACGAGCTAATAAAGGGCTGCGAATTAGCGATCTATAAGACTGCCTTCTCGCTAAAGGAATTGCGCGATCTCTGCGCGGAAAATCAGCTTCAGCAGCAGAAAAAGAGACGATCTAAGCGACAGATATCTCCTTGTGATGATCTCCAAGTTCAAACAGCAAGGGACTTAATTGCGTTGAGAAATGAGCAATTGAATGTGGACGAAGGGGGTCCTAGTAATTCTACTCCGCTCGCTTCTGGAGCCCGAAAACGTGCACCACCAAGGTGTAGTGAATGTGGTATACAAGGCCATATTAGAACTCAATGTCCTAATCGTCATAGAACTTAGTTTAATAAATTATATCTAGTATTGTGCTGTTGTAAATAGCTTCAAGTTCTGCGAGTACGGTAAAAATTGATGAGGTGAGCGGATCGCTCGGGACGGTCGGATTGCCCGGGAATTACGTTAGTTAACCAGTTAACTAGATAGGACCGCTGCAGAGCGAGAGCTTCATACAATTCAAAAATTCTATACCTTCAGTTGCCTACCCGCTCTGACATATAGTATGTAGAAAGGAAGGTAGATAATGAAGTGTTGGGGGAGTAAGAAAGACACGATGGCATGCCATGCAGCTTTGAAATCAGAATTAGCTGAAAAGAGGCCATAAGGACCCCAACGAGAAAGGAAATGGATAAATTCAGACGCCGACATGTATGAAATGCTTGAATTGTATGAAAGCAGCGAGACGATCGATCCACAGCTCCACTGTGGGTTAGCGCCCTTGCGGTTCGCTTTATTCACATCAGGGGAAGTCTATCAAGATATTTGTTACCGTGTTAATACCAATGGACTGTATGGCTGCTATAAACTGCACGAATCCGCTTTATTCATGTGCAACAGATTCTATACCTGCCAAGAACCGTACAACCTCCATCTGATCCCATTTTGCGGCAACACCGAGAGGTGTAACACCGTTGATATTCCCTTGGTCCACATCAACAGACTTCATATCTGCCAACAGCTGTATAATTTTCACACTATTACATGCTGTGGCTACAGCAAGAGGTGTATAGCCGTCAATTTTCGCTTTGTTGACATCAAAAGATCTCACGCTCATCAACAGTAACCGCACAGTGTCTACTCTATCCTCATAGCGGCCAAAATAAGCGCTGTATCCCCTCCTCGTATGATCTCAGGAAATAGAGCATGCAGAATTAGATCAATGTCCTCAGGAGAACTGGCATGCGGATTCACATCACTGTCCTCCATCATTATTCTCACTATGTCAGTGTGGCCGTATGCCGCTGAGATGCAGAACATCGTCTGCATATAATGGCTCTACCCTTGACCTTGAAATACGCACCACACGCTCTTAGAAGCTTTCGGAAGATGCCTTCGTGCCCTTTTTGGGTTGTCTTCACTATTGGCATTTAGTCCAGAGTGCTCGTGAAAGTCAAGCAAGCCCTTCCCGTATCCAGGAAAAGCTCCACGACCTGCTCGTGTCCCCCGGCGATTGCAGCATGGAGAGGCGTAATTCCGTGATCATCTCGCTCATTTATATCAGCTATACCTGTAGCAAGCATTAGCTCGACGATTAGCGCATGGCCCTTCATAGCTGCAACGAAGAAAGCCGAACGACCGTGTCTTTTACGGTCGAATGCGCGCACAACATTTAAATTCAGGAGAAGCTCGACAAGGCTAGTATGTCCCCGCAGAGCTGCGATAAATAAAGGCGTAGACAAGGGGATAGGGCTATCTAGGAACCACACATAGACCTTGCCTGTAGCAAGAAGATGCTCAACGATATTTGTATAACCTCCCTCAGCTGCAGCCAGGAGAAGCTTACTCCTGTAGCTGGTTTCATCTTCCATGCTCGGATATCCATTCTCCAAAGCAAGAAGAAGCTCGAAGGCCTCCGTATAGCCTCCCTTAACTGCAATTGTCAGAGGTGTATGACCGCCGAAACTTTCAGCCTTCGGATTAACCTTTCCTGTCACGAGAAGGGCCCTCCTGACTCCTACATACCCCCGCTTAGCTGCAACAAATAGAGGCGTCTCCCCGTATATATCGGCCTTATCCGGATCGACCTTGCCTGTAGCGAGAAGAAGCGCGACGATTGTCGTATGTCCCCTCATCGCTGCAAGAAACAGGGATGTACGTTGGATTCCGTTCTGCCAATTTATGTCTATGCGGCCGGTCTCGAGGAAAAGCACGACGATCTTAAAATTGCCATGTTCGGCGGCAAAGGAGAATGGCCTCTGGGTGAAAGCGAGCACTCGTTTGTGTTGATAAATAGGCCAAAGGATGTCCAGCATCATCTTAGCCGTTCCGACTTGTCACTTTGTGGCAGCCCATCGGAGAGCCGAGCATCTGGAGTGTTGTCGATTGTGCTGGTGGAGTTGTAGGTTCAGCAGAGCGTAGAAGCGGTGGTTTGTTCGGGTGAGAGCGTTGATGTCCCTTTCGGAAGTTAGCATTTTGCCAATGGCGAGAAGCAACTCATTAGGTAACTTGCAAAGTGACATTTTTTTCTTCTATCTCACAATTTCACTCTTTCTCTCTTTCTTTTTTTTTTGGCGGGGGTCTTTCGAGGTTGAATAGACTGATAGGAGCTAGTCGTGTGGATAGACCTACCAGAAGACTGATCAAAAAATGCCAAAAGCCAAAAGCCTAAGCTAACGCTCGATTTGATGAAGAGTGACTTGAAATACTTTATTTAAATATGAAATACAAGAGGGATGAGCCACCTTTATGTAGGGAGTAAATGGGGTTGAATCAAACCGACTGGTTGGCAGGGATTTAACAAAAATATACAATGGGATTATGTGTTTTATGCCATTCCAGTATCAGAACAATGCCCTAAATTATGCGAAATCAACCTACCTTTCGATCTCAATACATGGTTATATCCGAGACTTGATGGATATGACCCCTTTGTTATTATTCTTTATGATGCATTTATCGTGAATTAATATTACTTCCTCCTTTCTCTGCTTTGAAAGGGGTGATGTACCTATTTTCCTGTGTTTGCTTTGTCGAGCCCATCCAAGTGGTTGCAATCCCAGCTGATATTGTGTAGAACCTCTACACCCTAGACTTTGTTCACACACAACCTTCTTTCATTGTTGAGTGCGTGCTCCGAAGCCAGAAGTCTCCGGCTATTAGATTACTTGGTGACACTTTCCATCATATATTAATCTATATAAACACCCTTCATTCCTTGCACCTTTCCTACGCTGAACTACGTCACAGGATTTCTTCTTTTTCCTAAACTGGATATATACGCCGGTAGGCCAGGAACCCACTCTCTATATGTACAAAGATAACCCACCCCACCTCACCAATCACCATGTCCAAAGTAGCTTCCCAGTCCGGGTCCCGCTACAAGCTACCCACTGAAGTGAGAAGTGGGTCCTTTGTTCATTATTCGGCACCAGTCCCAGTGAACCCATCGCCTGAAACAACTTACGAAACCCGCCCTTCCAGACATACTCGCCGTGCTAGGGGGGCCTATGATATCAGAAACCTGAACCCGTCAACGAGGATCCAAGATCCCACCCGGAAGACGGAAACGTTTCGACAAGACGATGCAGAGCTTCCTGCGACACCGGCCCCTCCTCCCGCTCTGGCGTCTCGTCAGCGGGAAGACGTCCCCACTTCCACCCCGGCCCCCGCCCCGGCTCCCGCTCCCGTCCCGGTCCGCGCCATTCTGGCTCCCCATCCCGGTCCCCAGCCAGCGGAGCCTCTTGGCGAGCCGATCCCTCCACGACAGGGAGAAGCCGAGTCCCGCCCCACCACCCCGATGCCCGACGGGACCTCGACTATTCCGCAACGCGACATCCCCACCATCAGACGCACGGTGTCTCATCAGCGGGTCTCCGCGCCTGTCCTGATGACGCCTATTCCCGAGGAACTGGCAGGCGGCGGCGACCAGATCAACGAGCTGAAATGCGGGCTTCAGGCCCTGCTGAGCAAAATGGATGTGATGCAGCGCGAGCCGCACGATTCCTCCGCGCTGGCCGAAAAGGACGATGAGATTGACTCTCTTCGCACGTATATCGCCTCTCTGGAGAATCGACACAAGCGCGCCAAAGATGTCCTCGCGAATCGGGAGATCCAGGTCCTTCAACTAGAGGGCCAGTTAGCCGCGGAACGGAGCAGCGCGGCGTATTTCAAGACGGAGTTGGAGAGCGCAGAGGATGATCTGGAGAAATTCGAGGAGAGGGCGAAGAGGGAAAAGCAGATTGTTGTGAGGCTGGAGGAGGAGAAGCGATTGGTCGGTGAGCTTCTGCAGGAGAGCGAGAACAGCAATAATCTGATCTATAGCGAGCTGAGTACCTCAGAAGAGGAGAATGAGAGCCTCATGAAGCAGCTGACGGAGGCCAACACTGTGATAAACCGCCTGAGAGATGAGAAGGCCGAAGATGCGTTTTTCATCCAGGCGACACAGCAGATGTTGGCCGAGTCGGAGGCGCGGAATGGTCTCTTGCAGAAGAATACCGAGAAAGTGTCTCAGGGTGACACGGGAGATGTGAAAAAGCCATCCGATATTGAGGAGCGGTATCAGAAGGAACGCGACCAGTGGGCTGATATCTTCGATACGCAGAGAATTCAGATCTCGAATTTCGAGGACAAACTGATGGCGCTGCAGAATGAGATTGAGCAGTTCCAGGCCGAACGCGCCAAGCATCAGGAGACCGAGAGTGCCAACCAGATGCTCCGCACTCGAGTCATTTTCCTGCAGTTCCAGCGAGTCACATTGACCAAGAAGAGAACGGAGATTGAATCTCAGCTATCGGCCGCACAAAAAGTGGTCACCGAAACTCAGAATTGCTTGGCTGGATTGCAGAAAGCATATGAAAAGTCTGAAAAGCTTTTGCAGAAAACGCAGCTATCCATCCCCAACGCTCAATCGAACAATGGTTGGTAACGCAACGGCCATGGCGATGCTAGTATATACCCAATACTTATTGGAACAGTACACTATGATTGTCTGTGCTACCAGTTAAATATAGAATGGTCATTGAGTTTTTTTTTTCTTCATCTTTTCTCTCTGTCTACCTGCAATTTAATTGTCTTTGTCCTGTCTTTGTTTAAAACCGTTCCTTAACAATTTCTTTATCTTGATTCATTTTACATTATAAAATCTCAATTTGTTCTTTTCTTTTATTTGTTCTCGTATTATTCTGCTGTTCTTTCGATTATAGTACTATATAGTCTTGAGATGCTGTAACATGTGATGTTTGAAGAACCTATTTTTATGTACAGTAGTAACATTTCCATGATGTAAAGAATATATGTTGTCAGGATCGCGGTGCGATCAAGATGAGAAAGATGCTTGAATTCCTCAAGATGCAGCGTAGCTGCGAGAGAGCTATCTACTGTGTGGATCAGGTGACACACTCAACTACATTAGGAAGGAGAAGCGGTCCAACATATGTCCATGTAGGCCATTATAAGCAGAAGATCCATATTAATCTACAATCACTGCAAAGCATTTTCTCTTTTCAAAGGGAATAGAAATGAAAAATGTGACGAGTCAAAATCATGTCAGATTCCTCTTTAACAACTGTCTCATACATCCCCAATCCACTACTAGTATGCCAACACGCCAACCGCCAAGAACATAACTGATGAAATTAATTGCACGCAGCCAGTTAAAACCATCCTCTAAACGAGATGCGTATAGCCACAATTGATGTTTCCCTGTTGTTGCATCCAGAGAGCCATGGGACTTAAACCAATCACTCTGTACCGTTGCCCGGACGCATCTCCATCGAGTCCCATTGGTCTTGTGCGTCCAATCCAATCCTTCCACCATTGTAATATGACTATGACATTCCTGCTCCACGGTCTAGAAGTAGTATAGCCGAAGAAGATGGAGGGGGGGATTTTTTCCCCCGGATTCTTGGCCCGTCGACCCTGGTGTCTATTTAGCCAACCTCTCTACCCCCCGGAACATCCTTAATATCCCGCATGGTTTTCCCTAGAGGTATTCGATTTCTGATTTGAGATATGATCAGAAGGCCCTCTACCGGCCCGCCGGCCACCGGGACCACGGCACTCTCCCGGACTAGACATCCGCTAGACTCTACACTACGGAGGCAGAGGATATCAAATCTTCCGACCTCTAGGTCACCTCCATCGTTGGTTCGAAACCATTCATCCCACGCAAGTCGACTTGGTCAGAATACACTCCCTACTTCTAATATCAGTGGTCCGAGCCGACTTCCCCGACGAGTCGATAGAGTGTCAGACAGGGACACATCGCGTCCATTACGCGCCACCATCGAACAAACTTCGCAGGAACTGGAAGTCGGTGATTCTTCACCCTTGGTTGGTGGGCAACTCGCCACTGCTCGATCTTCTTGTCGCTTCCGAAACGAACTATCGACGGAGAGTGTGAGTGGGAATCGACTGGATGAAACTCCCTCCGGGCTGGACTCTGCGAGGAGACGAGGAGTTGATGCACATGGTGAGATTGGCAATGTGACACGCGACCTTGAACGTGCCTTGAGTAGGTTACCACAGGTTCACCAAGAGATCGACATTGAGAGACAGAGTCGAGGAGAAGCCGAAGGACAGGTTGCGGAGAAGGAAGAACAGAACAAAGGACTTCGCGAAGAGGTCAGTTACTCTGAGCGTATGATTCAATATCTAGAAGTGATTCTCTCTAACTGGATAAACCAGATAGCCGAGCTCAAACGCAAGCTTCAGGCCTCCGAGAGCGATAGAACGATCCTGTCCGAGAAATTAGGCCACAAGGCGGAACTAGAGGCGAAGGTGCAAAAACTTCAAACAAGCAACGCCAATCTCCAGAATGAGCTTCGAATAAGCCAAGAAAAAAACCAAGACATGACTGATCAAGCCATCCAGAACACCGACACGATTGGTGAACTCGAGAAGAAGCTTGCAAAATCCGAGGACGATAAACAGGCCATGTCCAAACAGCTGGCCCAGAACACAGAGACGATTGATAAGCTTGGTGAGAAACTTACGACTTTTAAGGGAAACAACAGAGAACTTCGGAGGCAGTTGGATGAGACCAACAGAAGAGCGTCATTGTTGACCGCCCATCGCGAAGAAGCCGAAAAGAGCTTAAACAAGATATCTGTCGAATGCTATAATGCAAATGAAGAAAGAAACTCATTGAATCATAAACTTCAAGAATGTGAAAAGAGAGTTCAAGAGCTAGAAAGCCTTACAGCCACCTGTGAGAGGGAATTCGAGGAAAAATACAATAAACTTGATCAAACACGCAAGGAATCTGACTTAATTGCTGAGTCTCATCAGGCTCGCTTCGAAAAAGGTCCGTCGAAAGCATCATACACTTCTGAAGCCACTTATTAACCATCAAGTAGAGATATTAATACTCGAATCCAAAAACGAAACACTAAATAAAGAGAAGCATAGCCTGAACACACGAAATGTCTTCCTCCAGCGAAAGGTCCGCCAAATCTCCTCCCGGCTACGAGCAAGCCGGCGACATCTCGCCGACGAAAGCGCAAATTCCAAGAAGTTCCGAAATCAGGAAAAAGCACTTTCAACTCTACTAATTGAAGTCAAAGAAGAGCAAACAAGATTATCCTTTGCCAATAGAGACCTAGAAGCTCTAATCTCGACCTTGCGAAAAGACATCACAACCCTCGAAGATGGGGCCTCTGCTGTTCAGTTAGCATTAGAAGACACCAAGAAGGAGTCCTCTAATCCTCAAGACAACCCCCGGGTTATAACTACGCCAAACGGACCTTTGGCGCGTAAAAACGAATTGAAGCGAGCTATAGGCTTTATTCGCGAAGGTGGGCGTGCATACATGTGGGAACGATCCTTGGACTCCTGGTTCATGGTGAATGTTACTGACTTGTTATATAGTGGTACGTGGTCACGGTCACTTGTTAGCATGAACAGAATCATTCTTATGACTCAGGTTTGGCCTAACGGAAGAAAGAGGAAAGACTGGAAGAGAAAATAGTGCGGTTTATAATGTGTTAATGTATTTTGTTTGTTCACACTGCACATCTAGAATCTTGTTTTCTGGTTTTGTGGGGAATTATAGGGAGCAACAAGACTGAACATGATAGAGGGCATTATTATGTTACTGGAATGAATCAAGGCATGAAATCTCCAAGTCCCAGATCAAGAGATACGTCAGCCTTTAGTATAGTTCGTATTGGACCACGCCCTGACAATGAGCTTACCGGACATCTCCCAACCATCGAATAGCCAAGGCAGCAAGATTTTCATCATAAATGAACCATCCACCTCTCCACAGCCTCTCACTTCCTACAAGCAGTATTGTCCAAACCATCATCTCTTCCCATCTTCCACACGAAAACACAACCACCACCCATCTAAACGAACCCGATGAAATGGCGCCCTACAACACCAACACGATCACCAACACCACTCTCCCCCATCCCGGCTCCTCCCCCCCCCCATAAGCCGCTCCACCATCACCTCCAGCTCCCTCGCCAACCTGACCCCATCTGACAACATCTCCCGCAGCTCCATCACGCACTCCACACTCACCAGCCCCTCAGAAACAAACCAATCCCAGACCCAAATCCACCGCTCCACGCTAACAAACTCCCATCTGGAAAACAGCGACCTGCACCGCTGCGCCGTGCACAATGCAACGATCGCCTCGTCGGTCCTGGATCGATGTACTGTGAGCGACTCGGTGGGGGACGAGAGCCGGATGGAACGGAGTCAGGTGGTTTCGAGTCGAGTGGTGAAGAGTCTTGTGAATAGGGCTACGGTGAGCGATTGTCAGGTGACGGGGTGTGTTTTGCTGGGGGGCGCGTATCAGGACATGGTGCTGAGGTTTGGGGTTTGGAAGGAGGGTAGGTTGGTGGGGAGGATGGTGGGGAGGGAGGTTGTGGCTGAAGGGAGGGGGGTGAATGGGGTGGGTTTTTCTCTTTCTCTCTTTTTTCCGTGGTTTGATTGATTTTTTGGGGGGTGGGTTGGGCTAATTGTTGGTTGTGTAGGTGGATTTCCCCGGCGAGATGCTGGAGGAAAGGACCGTGGAGGCGTGGATGAGGATGGAGGCGGATTCCGAGAGTGTGGATAGTGGGGAGGATGCGAATGGGAAGCCGAGGGAGAATATCCATGAGGCGCCGCCGCCATACTCGGAATTGCCTTAGTTGTGTATAATGAATGCTGCATTGTGTATGATGAAGGGCTCCGCGTCATGTCTGAATGAATCAGCAGTCTGGTTTATCACACTTCATGTGGATCTAACTGAGCTTCATAGTATCTAATGATGTTAAGCAAGTTACCCCGAATACACCTAGAATGGATAAGCAATTCAAAGCAATGCAACTTTATTCATTCACCAGCTGAATCACAATTATAGACAGATGTATCCCCCTCCCCCTCCCCCCTGATCCTCAATCCATCAACCCTAGATTAGTTGGAAGTCTGGTTACCACCGGCAACGACAAACTGCTTCTCCGTCTTCAACTTGCTCAGCGCACTCTCGGGCAGCTTGAGCGTATCAGCCACGATCTGTTTCGGAGTGGACCCGATCCACTGGCCCAAGGAGATATCTATTCACCATTAGCATCATCATCCCCAAAAAGCAGAAGAAGAGGTCAACAAACCAGTAAACTTATCCGCCTGCAACACCTCCAAAACAACCAACTCCTCATCCCCCACATTCTCAATATAATGACTATTCGACTGCGGGAAATACGCCACATCCCCAGCCCGATAATCAAACGTCGTCGCCGTATTAGGCGCATCAAACAACGTCGCCCGGCCCTGTCCCCGCAAGAAAAACGTCCACTCGTCGCTGCTCGGATGCCAGTGGATCTCGCGCAGACCGCCGGGCTGGATCGTCACTAGCGCGGCGGCGAAGTTCTCGGCGATCGGGAAGGTCTGCGGATCGACGATCTTGACGGAGCCGCCGGATACTTCGTGGGCGGGTTGCTCGGAGAAGTGGTACGAGTAGCTTTCTTGGCGGGGGAGGACGCCGGCGGCGGTGGTCACGTTTTGTTCTTCGATGTCGTCGGGGGCGCGCGTGCCGGGGAAGATGTAGAGTTCGTCTTCGGGGATGTCGTCGAAGGAGGCGAGTGGGAGGTCGAAGTTTTTGGAGAGGACGGATTTCTGGGAGGGTTAGTTGGTTGGGATGATTTGGGGGGAGGGGAAGCGTACAGGGTTGTGCGCGAACACCTCCGATGCCAGGAAGGTGTTGTCTTCGGAGAAGGATCCGTCGTCGAAGACGAGCAGGAACTCGACACCCGCGTCAAGCGCCTGGATGGAGTGCGGAACACCGCTGTATCACGAGTTAGCTCTCTATCTCTTCTCATCACCAGATGGGGAATACTGCACGTACCGCGGGAAAAACCACACATCGCCCTCGGTCACATCGTCGACGAAAGTCTGTCCGTCCTCATTGACAGCCTAAATCCCACAGCACATTAACACCAGAACACTGAGTGAAAGGAAACGGTAAATAGAAGCACAAACCTGAATCCGACACGACCCATTCAACACCAAAGACCACTCACTAGCCACATGCCAATGCAACTCGCGATACGCGCCAGCCTCCAGACGCATATCCACACCAGCCATACTCGTCGCGTCGGGCATAACCACGGTATTCTCCTGACGGGCCCACCCGGCGTTATCCTTTCCAAAGCTACCACGCAGTCAATACATGTCAGTGGCGTCTCCAATTCAGGACGGGTTGATCGTACCGGTTCCGACTGAGTCCTGGGATAGAGTTAGTGACGTCATGGACTAATTACTGGCAGACGAGAACAGCAAACTCACCCATGGGCCATTGCGCGTTGATGGTCTGCCCCTTGTCGGTTCCAGGGGGCGCGAATTTATCGCTGTTTAGACGATCGTACTCGACGTTTCCTGTACAGTACGCGAAGAATCAATATCCGATGTATGTATGTGTCTTGAGAAAAGAATGGGTGATGCGTGCCGCGTTCGAGCATGCAAGGGGGGCCGTACGCTGCGAGGAGTCCGTCCCGCCGGTAGTGCCGCGGATGGGTTGCGGATTCGGCACGTCCGAAAAGTCCAAGTAGCTTCCTATCTTGGGGTCTTCCTTTTGACCGGGGACGAGATTGTACTTGACGCCCTCGGTGCTGTGCTCGCTCAGTTTGTTGTCCGACGAGTAGCCGAGGAGATCGGGCGAGCCGCGAAGGGGAGGATCCACGTCTCTGGCGAAGCCCTGGGTTGGGGCGGCCTGAATGGCAGGGAGGAGGAAGGGGAGGAGGGAGAGGAAGACGGGCTTCATGGTGAAGACGAGTCTCAGAGAGAAGAGAGTATGAGCTGTGTGGGGAGATTTGCGAGACCAACGCTGAACGAACAACTTCAATTCAATGCAGGCGAATGAGAGAATGTCAAAATTCAGAGCCAACAACACCCCGTTCCATCGGCCTATTTATATGCATTTTTCACTCTCGAAAGTACTGAGCGCAGCAACTGGATTTCCGGGTGCTGCATCTCCCTAGCTCCTCGTTGACCCCTCACCAGAGCTCCAGAAAATTGGAGAAATATTGCAGTCGCCACTTGCCTACTGCGAGACTACGATGTGGGGAGAGGGAAGGTCAATGCAATTAGGGCTGAGATAGGCAGAGACAGCAGTGGCCGGTGCCGCTAGATCCGCACCGGCAAGGATGCTGGAACAAACGGACTCGGACGGAGATAGAAGGATGCCAAGCAGTCGGGACAGAGATTATGAATCGCCTGATTAGTATTAGAGCTCTGTGAGGTAGCAGGGGGAAAAAAGCCTCGTCTAAATTAGGTCTTATATCAGACGAAAGCGCGGTGCCAGGATCGACGCAGGATGATGATTTAATTACCAGCCGTAGGGCTAATTCACTCGAATGACTGCTGCCTAGGGGGAGGTCGGAAAATAATCACCCAAATATCAGACGCAAACATACTTTGCAGGTAACTTGCTCCGTAGGCGATGTATAATCGTTGGACTACTACTCGTCCAGGAAGAAAATTGGACAAGTCAAGGCCGCTAATTTCCACCAAGCCTTCCTAAGCTTTAGCCAAGCCAAGATCGTCCCCCGACCCAGAAAAAAAAAAGAGTTCGACTGGGGAAGGCCAAATTGATGTATACTGGAGTTGTGGTTTTCTGCGCAGACTTCACACGAAAACATCGTCGAAAAAAGGATCGCAGTTCTTTCAGGTTCTTGTGTCTCCCCGCACCAGCAGAAGTCGCGATTCTGACCGCGTGAAGGATTCTTCGACCGGCCCTACTAAGCCCTATCCGCGTAACCGTCGGGAAGGAAGGAAGTTTGCTCCCCACCTGCTAGTCACCGCAGGACGTATAACATCGCAGCATCCTGCATCTTACGCCTACCCGAACAGACAGTGTCGACCGATGTGGAAATAGCTCACTGCAACCCCGCACGAGAGGACCGTGGAGGGTAGACAGAAATAGCACAGATTGGGCCGGAGGAGGGCTCGGGGAGTCCGGCAGACACCATTTAGGGTCAAGTTGCGACCGACTAGTCGTGAGTATCAGGAAGGAGGAATTAGGATGGAGGGTCATTTCATTTCCAGCCCGTGTTCCAGCCCGTGTCTCTGTGTCCGAGAAAACGGCGAGAATCCCCTCACGGTATCTCCGAGGCCAGGACAGGCACTTGGCAGGGCGTTGGTGACGGGTGACACGGGTGGCGACGCTTTGTATGACGCTACGGCGCTTTTAATATCACCCGTCAGCAGGGAGATTATTCCCTCAACCATGGCGTCGGGGGTCGGGAAAGAGGATGCGATATCGTCTTTTTTGCCATGAAAAGAGCGGTCACCGAGGTTCTGGATGCGACAGGGAGTTAATCCATCCTTCCAGAGAGACCGACCGGCATGATTCCTGCAGGAGACGGAGATAACTAAGCTGACAGGATTGCTAATAGAAGTATCTACTGTACATGCATCCTTACACCAACCCTAATTTCCCGCCTTCCCCGTCTTCCTCCATCGTCGTAACCATCTACAGATCCCCCTCCCCGTCCCCTTCTTCTCCTGGCCCTTCCTCTCCAAACCCGCAAAGAACTCCTCCCTCTCCTGCATCACCACCGCCGCCCACTCCCTCATCTCAATCAACCGGATCTCCTCCACCACATGGTAGAACTCGTCCAGCCGTCGCCCCGTCGCCCGCTCATACTCCAGCACCTGCAGCAACATCTCCAGCTTATCGACATCATGCACGAACCGCGCCTCCGGGGTCTGATTCGCTTCATATTCATCAAACAGCCCTCTCAATCCTTGCTCCTTCCCCTCCTCCCCATCCTCATCGCTTGAACTCCCACTCCCACTCGCAAACCCCAACCCCAACGTATTCCCTAACCCCAAACCCCCCTCCTCTTTCTTCTTCCCCCCAGCAACCCCTCCCAACAAAACCCCCTGAATATACTCCATCACACTCCCCTCCCTCCTCGCCTTCTCCCCCTTCGAGATCCCCACATCCCTCGGCGTGAAATCCCCCACCAAACACTCCGCCATGTCATGCACTAGCGCCATCGCCACGCACCGCGAGATATCTAGTCCCCGGGCTAGACTCGCCGGCGGCATCATGGCCATCACGGCCATGCGGTACATGTGGTCGGAGATGGACTCGCCGTGCGGGATCCCGACTTGGAGCCAGCCGGACCGGGGGGTTGTTTTTAGGCGCTCGAGGAGGTGGAAGAACGGGATTGGGGTTGGGGGGGAGGTGCTTGTGGGTGGGGGGTGGGGGAGTGTGTTGAGGACTTTTTTTGTTGGAATTAATATCCGTTAGCTAGGTGTTTGGCTTTTTGTCGGGATAGGCAAATAGATGGATGGATGGATGGCATTGGTGTGGGAGATGAGTGGGAGGGAGGTACCAGTTTGGGGCGTCCATTGCACGTGGGGTCGTTCGCGAGGACGACCTCGTTCTTCTTGCATGATTCTCGTGCTTTGGGGGTGGTAATAACCACGATAGTTCGTAGAAGAGGTAGGTAGAGACAGGTAAGGATATATGTAAGGTATCGCAAAGCTAAGTATAAACCCAACAATTCGAAAAGATAAGAAGGAGGAAGTAATAAGACACACTCAATCCCCTCGCCGAGCAGCACTCGCGAAGAAATCAGCTTCACCACCCACCGACCCATTACGAACGGTGGACCGGGGCATTTATAGTTATAGCTTAGTGCTTAGTGCAGAATCACGAACCTACCCTCCCATCTCCATAAGGTTCAGGTTCACCTACCGAACCGAACGGGGAAAAATTCTAGAATATCGATCGATCCATGGATATGGACTCTCCTATCCGAGTGGATCAATAGTTGCGTTTAGGCCCGTTTGGTACTGCAAGGAACTTCGCGTAGAATCCGGACGGAGTAATGTGGTAGACTACCTACCTATGCGGGTTCAAGAGTCACCTGGACATGTCAGATGCAGCTGATGTGTCTCATCCAGCCGGCCAGCCAGCCAGCCAGCCAGCCAAATTGGCTACGGTCTCCGTACATGGCACAGACATAGAAGACAGGAAAAAGACGTGATGCGACAGTTTTAATCCTTGTGCTTAGTTAATTAAACAAGCTATGCGGATGAGAAGGGAATTCTAGATTAGATTTGGGGAGACAGTCCAGCTTGCAAATTTTTCAGTTCATTTTCTCATCTCATGGTCCTCCCTTCAATCAAATCGGAATAACCTAAGTTGTTGATATGTAAGCTCATTTGCTACAATGTTACCTAGATGCACGATAACCCATCTCAAACCAAGTTCCCATCCAAACAGGAGGGGGCAGGACTAACTCCTGGTTGTCTACGGAGTACCTACCTACGACACCCCCAGGAAATCCTCAACCTGTCCCGTGTGATTACGATGTGATAGCCATCAGGTAAGTTCATCGAGTTGCACTGCATCTTGCACAATTTCTGTCAGCCTAGCTAGATAACTAACTGACTAGATCTCTTTCGATTGCGTACATTGGGTCGGGTCATGTCAGGTCAGACCAACTGAACTGAACTATTGAATTAGAGATTGGGTGGAGCTCTGGTTAGTCTATCTGTCCCTTGCATGATGCAGGAAAGACTAGTCATCGTACTGTCCTAGGTAACTAGTTGATTAGGTAGCTTAGGTATTTCTCACTTAGAACATGTCAGTTACGGTTAACTAACTCATCATGGGTCATTTTCTGTTCTCGCTATTTCCGTTCTTAGATTTCTAGCTCGGTTGGCTGAATACCTAGTCCTGGGTATAGTGGAGAATGGGAATTATTTGACTTGATTTGCATACGGACTGGCTGGCTGATCTGGTCTATTCAAATCAGATGAGATGAGTATGACAGATCATTCAAGACATAACACAAAACCAACATCTCTAGGTATACTCCGGAGGCCGGGCCAGTTCAGATTCTTAACATCGTGTATCCGTACTCAATTAGACCAAAATATACACTAATTATATACAAGCCATTGACTCCAACGACATAATCTAGTAAGTATATACATGCAAATATATATGCAAGTATAAGTTAGTTAATATGCAGTCATTACACATCATTCATGCCAACGCGATCAACCGAAGCGATCTACACACCCCTCGGAGCCCGACACAGCCCCCTCACATCCTCAGGCATGGTGTTCCAAAGAACCTGGCAGATCTCCTTTCCGACCTGATCAACGACGTCCATAGCCCAGAGGACATCCAAATGCTCATATTCCTCGATGACCTTCGCGTGAACGACCCGGACATGGGGCTCGCGACCGTTCTGCAACCGCCGCAGCAGTCGTCGCCCGTCAACCAGGTCATCGGATCCTCCGATCCACAGCGCCATCGGGGGAGCCTGGGGCCCGTACCACGCGGTGTCGGTGCGGATTTGGGAGTCCTGGGTGAGGCCTTGCTCGGCGCGCAGGTCCTCTTCCATTTCGAGGAGGCAGGTCTCGCGCGTGGCGAGGATACATTTTTGGATGGAGAATGAGTCGCGTCCGAGCCACCATCGGATGGTCTCGGTGCTGACGTAGACGGGCGCGAACTGGAACATGCGGTCGCGCAGACCGCGGTCCCAGTGTGTGTCGCTCCAGCCGAAGAGATGCGAGAAGACGTAGTAGCCGAGGGTGCCATAGACGCGGGGATTAAGACGCGCGTGCATGGTCATCATGAAGGGGATGAACGAGTGGATGCCGAAGGCGAGTCGGAATAGCCTCGGTGACAGGGCGCGCACGATGCGGAAGTAGACCCGGTCCACGAGAGGCCCGGCATACGCCGCGGGAGCGAGGGCGCAGAAGACGGAGATTCGCTCGCCCAGCTCCGGTCGCTGGTCCTTTGCCAGAGCGATCAGTGTCTCAGTGGTCCCTTGAGAGTGACACACCAGACCGAGCTTCTCAAACCCAGTCTCATACAGCACTCGCGACATGTGAGCCGCGATGTCAAACACTCCCATCTGCCGAATATTCCACGCCCACATGCGCGGATCGGACGATGACAGCGTCGTATGCTCCGGTTTCAATGCACACCGGTTATTCGCCAACCAGACATCGTACCCGCTCTTGCAGAGGAAGAACGCCAGACTATCGTCGTCATTGGTACAATACGCCCCAGCACTCTGAAGTAACCCATGAAGCAACAAAACAGGATACTTGCGGCGCCCGTCCGCGCGCGACACCGCACGAGGGTTCTTCTGGCCCATGAAAACCTGCGGTCCGCGACACTGTCGGTCGGCGACCGACGAGGGGTTCTGTTCCTGGGGATTATAAACATGCCACAGCGTCAAGATATACCCGTCTTCCGTCTGCACTTTGAACGTCTCGACGTCCAGGCCCACGCGCCGAGCATAATACGCCACGTCAGGGACGATGGGATCCCGACCGCCTTCCAGCGGCGGACACTCGTCCGGCACCGGACCGTGGCCTTCTTCATCGACCTCGTCTTTCTTCTTCTGCTGGCGAGTCCACCGTCGATGGTCGGCTTGTCGGTCGCGGTTCCGGATCCGTTCTTCTGAGTGAAATTTCCGCTGCGTGTTCGGATCCTGACCTCTCACTCGAAGATACCCGTTATGTAGCACCCCTCCGGCCCGATTGATCAGCGCCCCGCCGACGATAACGCCCAGGAAGAGCAGCGACAAGATGAACGACACGCCTCGGACCGCGAGACATTGCAGGGAGAAGAGAAACGAGGGAGCGCTGTAGACGGGAAGCGGTGGGAACAGCGGATGAGTGGACGGATGTAGGCCTGCTGATGTCGATGTCGTCGCCTTAGCCGAGGGATGCGAGGAAGGCTGGTCGCGCTGCTCGTCGCCCAACAACGCATCAGTGACGGTCGAGACGCCGAGTTTCTCATCTTCGCGTACCCTGTCCAGATCCTGCAGCTCGAGAGCATATTCGAGGCGTTTGCCGTCGGGGGAGGGCGAGGTGGGGGAGATGGGCTCAATGGCCATATCGAAGGTATGTATTGTGGGATATCGTGGAAAATCGTATGCGATCGTAGTTTATTATGAATTATCGTAGTCTATCGCAGGAAAAGATGCGCTCGGTAGTCCTTGCAGGGAGAATGATAGTGAGTCTCGGCATGTGAAATGCAACAAGCGGCGCTGGCCAGAAAGTCTAGGGAAATTAAGACTGGCGATCAATCGCAAAGACAAAAGGCACAGGCTGCATTATGCAAGAAGTGACAACGCAGCCTACGAAAGGGAGAATGAAATAAAAGGGGGGAGATCAACAACTCCAACAATCGGGGAGACTGGAGACTGAGAAGACTCGAAAGAAGGGGAGACACCCCGGGATCACCGCATTGGGCAAGTGTTCTAAAACGGGAGCGCACGTGAAGGTGGGGCTCTGCGCAAGCAGGTTGAGCCAATCAGTGACGAGACCCAGCGAAACTAGTTATTGGTGCCTGAGGCATGAATGTACTGTTCTGTGAAGAGAGTGGAATTCAAATGATGAATTCTATCTACCAAGAATCGAAGTAAAGGTCATATCGCATCTCTATCGTCTCGATCCCGTCAAACATTACTCCGTACCATAGCTGAACGCACAAACACCTGAAAGCCAAAAATCAGAAAATAACATCAACTACGCCTTCTCAATGTGCTGCGATTCCCGCTTCACCTGAGCATCAGCCTCCAACTCAGTCAGAGTTGACCCCGGTCCCGAGCTTCCTGACACGATGTCTTGTACATCGGTGTAGTTGACCGAAGGCCGGAAGCCCGGCGAGCGCCACGCCGACGAGACCTTGGAGTAGAGCTCGTCGACCTGCTCCAGACTAAGCCCCTTGGTCTCGTAGATGCACGTGTAGACGAAGACGGCGGCAAGGAGGCAGAAGCCGCTCCAGATGAAGAAAACCTTCGACTGCAGGTTGGCGTTGCCGGGGCCTGCGTTGACCATGTAAGGGGTGGCGTACGCGATGGCCCAGTTGAGGAGCCAGTTGGTAGCAGTAGTGATGGAGAGACACTTGGCACGGGCCTTGAGCGGGAACAGTTCGCCCGTCACCACCCACGCCGCGGGACCCCAGGAGCTGGCGAAGAAGAAGATGTAGATGCACACGAACGCGATCAACACCTTGTTGGCAACGTCGGACGTGGCCACCATGCCGACGATGGCGACGATGAGCTGGCAGACAAACATGCCGATAGCGCCGGCTAGAAGAAGGGGCCGACGACCCCATCTCTCGACGATGTAGAGACCGGGGAAGGTAGACACAACGTTGACGATGTTAGTGATCAGGGTGATAATAAAGCCATCCTTGATACCGGAGTGTTCGAAGAACGTCGTTCCGTAGTAGACTACACCACGTTAGTATCATGTCGGGCTTTTTGTGGATGGAGGAAACTTACAGATAAAGTTCACACCGGCCAACTGCTGCAATGCCTGAACAGCACAGCCGGTCGCCAACCGCTTTCCAATAGACCCGCGGACGATTTCCAGATATCCGGCCTTACCCACGCTCATCTCGTACTCATGGTTCGCCTGAATTTCAGCTAGTTCCTGAACGACGGACGCATCATTGACGTCCACCCGGCGAAGTCTCGCGAGGGCCTTCAGGGCAGCCTCATGGCGGTCCTTCTTGATCAGGAACCGGGGCGTCTCAGGCAGCATGAGCATTCCGACGACGAGAATGATGGCCCACGCGAACTGGATAGCGATGGGGATTCTGTAGGAGCCAGTATCCATGCGATCCTTGGTGGAATTGTTCACAATGGCAGCGAGCAGCAGCCCGATAGTGATGGCCAATTGGTATGCACCGACGATGGCACCGCGAATCCACTTGGGGGCCGTTTCGGATTGGTAGAGAGGGACTTTGCAACGTCAGCATATGCATCGAAGTAATAGTCAAACGCAGGCGGAGCATGAACGTACTAGTTGCAGACAGAAGACCAACTCCATACCCGGCGAAGAATCTCCCCGCAACAAACAGCGGGATCGACGTGGCAGCCACCTGGAGGATCACGCCAAAGCAAAAGACGAACGACTCGATGATCATGGCAATACGCCGACCGAAGTAGTCGGCGACCGGGGCGGAATTCAAGGCGCCAAAGAAGGTACCGGCGGACAGCAGCGACACAATCATGGATGACTGTGAAGAGGTCACGTCGGCGAAATTGTCGTCGGGGTTGATATAACCGGTCGAGAAGAGCTGGCGCCAGTATTTCATGGCCAGAATGCCGCTGATGGTACCGGTGTCATATCTAACCAGCGGTCAGTACGTGCCGATGGGGAAGCAGCAAGCGCAGCAGAGCGTTGACCTACCCAAACAACACACCACCAAAGGCCACAAAGAAGCCAATGGCAATAGCAGGGGCCGCGGATCCCGCCGTATCGTCGGGTCTCCTCAACGAAAAACCCATGTTGAGGTAGGGTTTGTAAGAGTTGTTGAGCACGACCAGTGGGGAATAGTAGACAGAGAGACGGAAACGCTTCAGTTCACACACAAGTCAAGAAAGTATAAAGAGTACTCAGGAATGGAAAGACAATTCCTCAACCCGACCCGGGAAAGGCAAGAGCAATATATACTCGGCCAACCGAGCCGCGGCCATGCGAAGAGACGGGCGATTCATCTCATCTCCAGATCCGGCACCCCCAGAGCGACGGGCGGCCGAAATCAGGCATCACGCCAACCGTACGGAATCGGTGCACGTCGGCCAGGCCGCATGAGGCATTAATTTTTCTCTGTTTTTTCTTCGGACTTTCTCGTGCTAGTCGCTCAATTCGCCGCATCTCCGCACCACGGGATCCCCGACTTTGGATCTGGGGAGTAAGAGAGTGGAGCGATTGCGCACGAGGGCACGGAGGAGTCGGGCCAAAAGGAGTCAAACGCGGGCGGAGCGACGTCGAAAGGTTCTGGAAAGAGGCAGGGAGAGCGTGGAGGCTAGAGAGTTTCAGGGGTGTTTCCCCGTCCTTCGTCCAGCGACTGCATCTGGCCGGTGCAGAGTGCAGAGTCAAGCCTGGCCAGACCCTTCATTTCGTGCCCTAAAATGGAATCTCCGAGGCGATCCGGAGGTTGGCCGTAACCGCTAAGCTTAGAGACTAGTCACTAGGCACTAAACTAGTTCGTAGTGCGCAGTCTAGCGTCGCTGCAAGCAGTCATAAAAATAGGTGTGGCAAACCGTTCAATTGGAATGTGCAGAGAAGACAATGGAAGAGGCAATGGAATGTGAGAAGACATAGAGTTAGATTACGGAAGACGCCGAGTCTGGGTCCCGTGCCGCTGCCCGAATCCGGCACGTTCGCCTTTCGATTCGCATTTTCTCTTCCTCGCAAGGGACACCCGTCAACAACACACAACATCGGAGTCTGACTACAGGAAAACGCACTCCCCTCACCGACACCCCTTTCAAGCCTGCGTCCCATTCAATCGACGTTACACTACCTCCCTAGCCCGGGGTCAGATGCCGTCCCGATCACCTGAAGCCAGGATTCCAATTGGACTGCGTTGGCAGGATTCTCCGACATATCCCCAATGAGTTACCCCGGAACTGAAGATCTGGAGTCTGACCCCGCCTGAAACTGGCCTGAGTCCCTGATTGTTTACTTCGGATGGGGGCTGGGGTTTGAGTTTGTCCAAGTTGAGGGGAGGGAACCGTAGATGGACACGACGGACTAGTCTGTCTTCGTAACGTCTACACGACGGGCGACGATTTCCCAGTCCTTCAAGTTAAATCAACAAACGAGGGTAGCATATTGACATGCACACCGAAACCAAATAAGTGAAAGCTCGAATTCAATTCTAAACCCCGGACCCAGACCCAGACTTGTACAGTACGCCACACACCAGACCCCCTGCGTCTTAGATTTTCATGCTTATATACAAAACAACCCCAGGCCGGGGAAGAATCTCTTGGAGAGGGAGGGGCCGATTTACCACCGCCAAATGAGGAAAAAGTACCACACAAACACAATCGCAGCCACGTGTCGGACCGAGTCGATGAACTCGCCCCCGATCAACCGCGCCCGGCTGCCCGATCTCCCTCGGGAATCGGCGTGGCTCGGTTTCCATTTCGTGCGGTCCAGCTTGTCCTCGTCTGCATCTGCACTCGGGTAAGCATCATGATATGGCGGGGATGACTTGTATCGAGGCGGGTAGTTCGTCGCTCGGCTGGCCAGGCCACCCGGAGACGGGAACTTGGAGCTGGACGTACCTGAGGAAGGTACTTGGGAGAATTCATATTGAGGGGGGCGGGATTCGGAGAGAGGGAGGAGAGGGCTTGAGGAGGTGGGCTTGGGGGGATAGGCCGCGCGCACGACAGCGCGGGCCAACAGCACGACGAGTGTCAGGCCGACGATGAGGCCGTAGTGGATGAAGATGGAGAGTTGGTCGGGTAGAAGACATAGATGGTTCTGAAGCGTAGTGGCGGTGTTTCCTTCGGCCGTCGGTTTCCCCGTGGCTGGATCGATGGGATTCCATAGACTGGTGAGCACAAAGCCCGGACGACGGACCCCCATGGCCCAGGACAGACTCTTCACCGTGATCTCCTTAGGCGAGCCGCTAAACTCGCGGTGGGATATCTCACAGTAATCATGATCGTCTCCCGAATAGACCTGGATGAGGTTTGGCCCGACCTTACTGACAAGATCCTTGGAGATTGTCTGGGTCAGAACGTTTTGGTACTGGTAGCCACCCGCGATGGTGAGGGCATTGCGCTCGTCTTCCTCCAATCCACCCTCGGACGAAGGAGGCCAGTGTTCTCTCAACGGGCCGCAAGGCGTCGCCGGTCGACGATACAACGGAACATGGGTAAGAAGAACGGCGGGAAGACCGACGACCTCCGGCTGGGGCCTGTGCGCGACCGAAGGCTCAGAGATATCGATGGCCTTGTGAGTGAAGAGATGGCCTTCGCTTTGATTGTTCAACATGCGTAGCTCTTCCATCTCTGCCTTTGCCCGATGCACGCTCATATTGTTAAGGAAATCCTCCGCTTCTTTCCAAATGCGTTCATTCGGTCGGTCGCCGTCCCCAGATCCAGCGCCTGTACTGCCAGTCTCGGGGTCGGGCTGGTCCATGGCGCTCAAGGAGACCGTATCCATTGAAACAAAGGTATGATTCCCGATCACATCGACCCTGTTGCCTTTTCCAAAAAACATTTGGAACCGATCGCGTACTGGCACCTGCACCCCCGACCCAAACCCAAGATCATGGTTTCCGGGCAGACTGGCGATCATCCTGCGGCCGCGAGGGTTGGTCGAGAACCGATCACCTTCACTCCACTGATCCAGGAATATCTTCACGAAGCGATGGTACTCCTCCTTCCAGAACGAATCTTTATATTTCTTATACCGCTCCTCCGGACTGGAGCTGTGGGCCGTTGCCCATTCTCTACCACCATCGAACAAGTCGCCCAGAAACAGCACCGAATCGGGGCCGAGTTTGTTTTGAATCGACCAGAAAGACCGTCGCAGGTACTGATCGGTGAACAGCACCGTCAGCGTAGAAAGCGGCCACGGTCGGCCGGGATACGTATGCGGGTCGACGAGCTGAGGATCGGCGATGAAGGCAACATGGTGTGGCGTCGCGTCTCGAGGCTGCAGAAGAACAACAAGAAATTAGCACCTGGAATGGAAGTTATCCCTCAATGAAGCCGTTCTCACCCAATGTTCCCAATTCCCCCACGCGCATGTCTCCAGGCTCTCCCGAAAGACAGTCCGCTCCCCCCACCACAGAGTCCAGAACCACAAGAGAATCAAGCCATTCGCGATGCTGAAGATAGACTTGAAGGTCCGCCACACTTGTGTCCCTAGTGCCGCCCTGGCTTTAGAGCCCTCTGCGCCGCCCGAGGCCAGCGATGCACCGCGCGTCTGAAGGTCTGCGATCTGTCGACTTGCCCCCGTCGGCAAGAACGATTGAACCCGGTCCAGCGTGCCCGGAGACTTGGAAAAGGAACCGCGTGAGGGTCGGTAAGCGTCCGCGCTTGCACCTTGTCGATAGGAATAACTCATGGTTCGGTGTCAAATGAACGGTGTGGAAGAAGCCAAACTACGGTGACCGCTGCATCGCTCCGCCCTTGTTGTTGACAGGAGTGTGAACAGACACTCGGCAACAGACAGACTCCAGTGGCTAGCCCGATGTCACATGAAAGAGGGGGATGTAAGACGAAGTCACTATGCTATTGCGGGAAATCAAAACGAGCGAAATCCACAATTTTGGCCATTGGCGATGAGACACAATCGATCAAGGGGTCGGAGATCTGCTGACGGCCCGCCGACACATCGCAGGGTCACGTGCCCGATCCGGGGTCACGCCTCGACCCCCGATTTCTGAGGCCAACAACTTAAAACTTAGAAGTAGAACCAGACGCACTGACTTGGGTATTGTCCTGATGCTTGACTCGACACTAACTGGTACGCCTAATAGCTGTTTACATTGGTACATAGGTTCTTTGTCTTGAAAGTGACAGCAGGGAAGCCAGAGGTGGATGTATAAAACGAGTGGGACCGATCTATATATATCTTTCTGTGTTGCAGGATTCAAAACCCAGTAAATTGCTAAGGAGACACAATCCAACGATGAAACATGATCAAACGCAGCTGATGCCTGTCAACTGAACGAATCAGACAGTCGCTTCAACACATTTTTTATCTATTAGTATCAAGGCTTGAACACCCGAGATCTCCACCCTTAATAAAGATAGTATTAATAAGCATAATATGAATGAGATGCAGATAGGCAGTGAGGGTATGAATGATGAAATGAAATCCGTCTTTTGTAGGTAGCGACAAGAATAAGCGAGATGCGCGTAGCGGTCAACTCAAGGAGTAAAGGAAAGACTAATTAGGTGGAGTTCGTGGGACAGCATTGACCTCCCCGATTGCATTCGTCGCCACATTCGAGCAGACAGGCCTGGGGATCGCCATCGCGAATGCTCGCGGGCCGGTTAGAAGGATGATTGGGAGCCGACGGGTCACTGCTGCTTCCGCGGGAATAGGACGGGGCCGCCGTGGAATCCTCAACATCACTGTCCGGTGCGAATTCGGGCTGGATGGTCGAAGAGTGGATACCGTACGCATGCAAGCATTTTCTCACTTGTCGTGCAAGGCGCATGTATCTCTCCGATCCCTCTCCCTTGATCTCAGTGTCCACCTGAATGTGAATTGAAGCGACAATCTTGGTGTCACTCAATTGCCACACGTGGAGGTGATGGGAGCCGATCACTCCAGGAAGCCGCTCGATGTCTTCCTTGATGTGGTCGATACTCATACCGGGGGGAACGGCCTGGAGAAGGATGCGGGAAGCGGCTTTGCAGAGGGGAATGGCAGAGGCGAGGATGATGATAGTGATCACCAGCGAAATGCCGGGATCCACGTAGTAGCGCCAGTCGTAATCGGTCAACCAAATGACCAGAGCCGAGACAATCACGCCGATATTTCCCAGGGCATCGCCCATGACATGCAAGAAGACACCTCGCATGTTAAGGTCGTGGTGACCGTGTGAGTGGTTCTCTTTGGGCTTGGGTTGGGCATGGTTGTGAGACTGGTGAATGTCGTCATCGGCCCCATGATCGGCCGTTGGGAAGGGAGCGTGGTCATCGTCGGTGTAGAGTCGGCTTCCGTCTTTCCTAGGGAGCAGGGAGGACCGTTCTGATGGCTCAACTCCTCTCTCACTTCCCTCACGCGAGACAGTCTCCGATTCAGAGGATTGTTCGTCGTCCACAAAGCGCGTCCGACTAGCCGCAATAATCTCCTGTCTCAAGGTCGCCGGATGCACCTGTATATCCTCGGGATCAAATCCACGCGTGGTGGTACTGTAGCGGCGCGAGCTAAGGTTCTGGCCGTCAAGGGTCCGGCGTCTGCGAGAATAGGGAGATGACGGTACGGTGGCAGCCTGCGAGGCCTCATTCTTTGGATATGATGTTAGATAAAGTCCATGACCGCAGATCGAGGAGGGGATTTACATTTGCGGCAGCCTTCTGCTTGTCAACCGCAGCCGAATGGCTGTGATCATGGGAACTATATCCCTGCTCTGCAGCATTGACATCATCGATTTCCTCGTCATGTCCATGACTGTGACCGTGGCCACCATGACCATGCGAATGGTCATGGAACAATGCCAGGCCTATGATGTTGGACAACAGTCCCAGACAGCCGACAATGCAGACAAATTTGGGATTCTTGACCTCCTGAGGCTCAAACAATCGCTGTACGGCCTCCAAGAAAATCGATAAACACAAGGCGACTAGGAAAACGCCATTGACGAGGGCACCGAGAGTTTCTGCGCGTTGCCACTGCACGTAGTCGAGGACGAAAAATTAGAGTTTGTTCCGGAGGCAACGAAAACAAGAAGGGGAATGTCTTACCCCGTAGGTGTACATCTTGGAAGTCGTTTCGCGGTTGGCAACTTTGACTGCCCACAATCCAACGAGTAGAGATATAACATCATTGAGCTATCGGTATGCGTATGAGTGGATGTTGGCGATTGAGTCGGAGCGTAGATAACGTACCATGTGAAACGAATCGGCAACCAGGGCAAGGGAGTGGACAGTGTAACCTGGACGGCTGAATTAGACAAAGTCGATCTCACTCGGAAGAAAGACAACTAACCGGCGATCAGCTCGAGCAAGAAAAATGCAGTATCTATCACCAGCAGGATCAAGATCCTGTGGGTTTTTGAGAGACCCATGATGTAGATGCCCTTGGAGCGCGCTAAGTGGCGCAAGGCAGGGAAAAAAAGAACGAATGACGATAACCCCACCAGTCAGGTTTTGAGGTGAACAGGAGCGAAGCAGAGAAGGGAGAGTCAGCTCAGGTATCAGATAAGGTGAAAAAGGAAAAGGGCATGAAGAGCCAGGGAAATGGTCGGAAATCGAGAGAGACACAAGAGGCCAGGGGAAAGAGAGAAGGACCATGAAACCCCAAAACCGGGAAGAATTGGCGGGCAGAATTCCAGGGCGGCGAGACTCTCCGATGGGCCCGGCAGGTGGCGTTATCGCGGATGCCGATGGCCTCAGGCACTCTGTCGATCCCGGAGGTGCTCCTTACGATGCTGCATATAGTAGCCTTTTTTTCATACATAGTGGACAATATCTCAATTCCACCTACAATATCAAGATGATTTTACCTATCTATGTCAAATATCATCATGTCAACTGACTTGATTGTTACTCGGAACACCTGCCACATACTAATATCGATCTAGTACTAGTAACCTACCTAACGCCTCTATCAAGACACTAGGACTCTCGCTTACGGTGGTGCATGCGCATTAACGTGAAAATATCTGGAGAAGCTGAAATTAGAGGAAATAGGACCCATTGCAATGCATCTCATTGGTTTTGTACCTCTCTTAATTCGAAATTTTCTTCGTCCGAGGGAGAACTATGGCAATAGCCTGGCTCAAAAAGACCGATGACCGATGGTAATTGAATTATCTGGAAAAAAAGACTTAGAAGGCGCCAAAATACGTCCTCGACACGAAACACAGCGAGAAAACTCTGGCGCTTTTTGTTTATTCCGGAACCAAATGACAGTCCGGTTGACTACCCATGACTCCGGGTGCTTCTGTTCGTGAAACCTGGGTAAAATTTAGCCAATTGCTTTCGAACACTTGTGAAATCGACTGCGACTTATGAAAAACTATGATTAGAGAAGACTGCACATTTATTCTTTCCAATATGTTGTATGAATAGTCTGTCAGAACTTATTTGAGAAGCTAAGTTAAGGGGTTGTCGTACAGTGGAACAGACAGTGGCTGACAGTGACTTGGTATGATGCGGTGCCATGGGCTCGGAGCCACAGTGAGGAATTAAATTATCATTCTTTGGTGGGTGATATGAATATCTTTTTCTCTAGTGCTAAGTACGCGACTTTGCTAGAATCCATTGATAGACGAATATTGTTTCTTGATGATGCATGGGACGAATGAAAGGCAACTAAAAATGACCACTCTTGCACCCCTCTTTCTTATCTTCATGAAAATCTGGTAAACAGTGTAGAAAGACGGAAAGGTAGGACAGTGTAACATGGTTCAACCTGGAGTGATCTAAGACGACCCATCCTCATAGTAGGTAAGATAGATATGTAAACACCCTGAATACCGTCTTCAGAATGCCTCTTTCTGACCATATACCACGTAGAGTTTGGAGTAATTATGCAAAGACCGATCCTTCAGCTCATTTCGGACCCCAATCAAAAGCAGCTGTACCTCTTCAACACTCCATCCAAGGTACCGGGTACACAGGGCCAATGAATATGCTTCGAGCGCCTCCAGCATATTCGCTTGATGATATATGCCGAGCCGTTTCAGCGTAGTGTTTCTCGCCCATGGACCGAATGGGACCTGCACGGGTCAGCGAACTGGGGTTGGTGACAATCAGTTCCACCAGGAGACAGACCTGAATGATTTCCTGGCGGACATTTGCAAATCCCGTTTGTGTCATCCACTCGCTGTATTGACCCGAGACACCCAAAGGTTTCCCGAACCTTCGACTTGCGTGGATGAGTTGATCCCGCCACTCAAGAAGATGTGGGGACTTCTCCGTACTTTCATCATCGGAGAAGATGCCAGCAGTGAAGTCGACGATCTCGAACCATCCCCCGGGACTGAGCGACTCATAGGCCTGCTGGAAAAGACGCGGGAAGTCATGGACGCAACCTTCAATTGCCCGTGCATGTATGTAATCGAATGACCGCGAGAAATTCCACTCTAGCTCGAAGTCATCGATTTCAAAAACACAATTTGGTGGAACCCTGGGAAGGAATTGGTTACATGACAACGCGAATCATGACCTGGTTTGGGGAGGGAGCGGGAGAGATCATACCATGAGGGTTGAATGGGGCTTAGATCCGTGCCTGTCCTACGTAAATACCATTGAATTGGGGAGGTAGATGGTCTTGAACATCATGAGACCTACCGATTACCACGGCATCGGGAAAGGAGCTATCAGCACGTTAGCTGGAAGCATGGGCGTGAGGTGATGAGTGGATTTGTCCTACTCCGCCATGTCAATCGCCCACGTTCCCGTCCCGGTGCCAATATCCAGAACTCGTTGTAGTTTTGGAAGGGGGGCGCGGTACAAGTCTCCCCCCATGGCAAGGCTGCAGATGTGGTGATGCTTTGGGTGGTTAGTCAAACATTTGTGACTGACAAGGATTGAGAGTACCAAGTCGAGCCGCTCTTGTTCCCTTTCGTCGTTGGGCTGGACAGGTGTTAGGACCAGTTGTCCGAGGGTGATCAAATTGTGTGCTGTGATGCTTACAATGACATATTCCCCTTGTCGGTATGCGTGATATCTCCGTCCATTCTTGTGCGGTTAATGACGAACTTCCCGGAGAGGACCGCAAACCTCACCTCGTACCTAGCTTGCATATTAGACCTCATCTAGAGAAGTAAGAATAGTGAAAACAAACTGGTAATTAAGAATGGTCGATGAAAGAGAGGCGGTTGAGCTGGCAAATAACCGTCAATACTACCCCGGGATGCAGAGATCAGGAATCAGCCCCTGAATGCAGACCATACCTACCCACTTTCATAGCCATCCCAGTCATCAAACACATCCAGGTCCTCCTTATCAGCAGTCAGTGTCCGTCGAGACTAATGCAAGTCCAAAGCTAGCTGAAACACAAACCCCGGACACGATAAGCGGGTCGAAAGGTGGCTGGTGCTCGTCCATAGTGAGTTGACAGAAGGGGCATAAACGGAATTGATCGACGTGACAGAATATGTAACTTTTATCCCGAGGAGCGCCCGCCGATCGCTTATATTCAGGACCAACTTTTGCTGTGACCACGCGAATCCCCTCGCGTGGAACCAGTTTAGCCCCCGGGGTTACACAATAAACCCCCCATTGTTTGCTGTCCATCTTAGCTCTGTCCGACACGGCCGGACTCCTTATCCCCCCTAGACCAGTACCAATAATTGGCGCGGGTCATTTGTAACCGTTGAGGGTTGCAGATGCCCCAATATCCAGCCACATGCGTATCCGATGATGCCCAATCACGCGGGATGGCAATGGGGCTACCTGCAGGAAAGGGATGATGGAGAAGGCCAACATTGGTCGAGTTTTACCAGGAAGCTGGGTACGTGCATAGATCACCGAAAAAATCTCCGAAAGTATATAATTTAGATCAACATACCGGGTAGAGCAATGTTGGGAGGGGTAGTGGTGTTGAGTACTTAGCTCGTCTCGTTGTCTTGTATTTTCCTCTAAAGAAATTTTGGCCAGATCGCTTACCAGATGCTTCAACTACTCTTGGAGCCCTCATACGTTGTGCTCGTGTGGATATGTTATCTGCTAGCTATCGCTGTTTATCGGTTATATCTGTCTCCGTTGGCCAAGTTCCCAGGCCCCAAACTGGCTGCTCTTACTAGGTGGTATGAGACTTACTACGACACGTACTGCTACGGGCAGTACACATTTGTGATTGCCCGAATGCATGAGAAATATGGCAAGTGCTGGACTTGAGCAAGGAAGTGACAAGCGCTAAAACCACCCAGGCCCTATTGTCCGAATCAGTCCGTGGGAACTGCACGTCAACGACCCCGACTTTTACGAAGTACTCTACTGTCGGAGTAGTCCACGAAACAAATACGAGTATTTCACAAAGCAGTTTGGGCTCATACGGACGGTTGTGTCTACGATCGATCATCATCACCACCGTCTCCTACGCGCCAACATGAATCCATACTTTTCCACATCCCGGATACGCAGCCTAGAGCCCTTGATCCAGAATTTAGTGGATAAACTTTGCCACCGGCTAAAAGAGTGCAAAGGCACCGGCAAACCGATTAATATTCACCACGCTTATAATTGTTTTACCACAGACGTTGTGTCTGATTATACTATGGGCGTTGGATTTCATTACCTCGACGAGCCCGGGTTCGTCCCAAAATGGAACGAAACATTGACGACAGGCGCCAAAGCGAGCGTGTATATGAGACCATTTCCGTGGCTGCGATGCTTGCTAGACGCGCTCCCGGAGAGGGTGTTGTTGCGGATTTTTCCCGAGGCAATCCTCACAGCTCAATTCAAGAGTCGCTGCGAAAACATCATGCAATCGATCATCGATGAACAGAGCTCCAAGAGTTATGACAGAGTTAGAAGTCAATTCAGTCATCCAACGTTCTTCCACGACGTGCTTAACAGCAGTTTACCTCCGGAGGAGAAATCCCCGGAGCGGCTTTCTCAGGAAGTGCGGTTGGTTATCGGGGCTGGGTCGGAGTCGACATCGAAGATGTTGGCGTGGACGACGTTTTACCTGTTGGAAAATAAAGATAAATTGGATAAATTGCGAGAGGAGCTGAGCCGGCTGGACCCTGAATACACGGCTTCTTTGGTTGATTTTGAGCAGATGCCTTATCTAGTAAGTCAACTCAATTACATTGCGGGAGCAATCTGCTGATCGTGGAAGACTTCTGTGATGCTTGAAGGATTGAGGTATGGCCTCGACATCCTTTGAGAAACTCGACTATAACCAAATAAACAGGCTCTCCTACGGAATAAGCTCCCGCCTTCCTCGAATTGCACCCAATGGCCCTCTCCAATTCAAGGAATGGACTATTCCTGCAGGCGTGAGATCTCACCTCCTAACCATTTTTAGAACAGGACACTGATATCAGATTCTAGACCCCGGTGGAAATGACTAGCGTACTTATGCACCACAACGAAAAAGTCTTTCCTGACTCTTATAACTTTATCCCCGAGAGATGGATGGATCTTGACGAGCGGAAGAGACTCGAGAAGTACATGGTGTCATTTAGTAAGGGATCGCGACAATGCCTCGGTATGAAGTGAGTGCAGCATAATTTAGCCCTCAATCTTTAGTGGTCCATTCCCGATGCTTACAGTCGATAGTCTCGCCAAGGCGGAAATATTGCTTCTCTTGCCGAAGATCCTGCGGGGGTTTGAGTTTGAGTTGTTCGAGACAACTCGCGAGGATGTCACCATTGCACATGACCTTTTCTTGCCCTACCCGAGGGAGAATAGCAAGGGGGTGCGGGTTCTCGTGCATTAAAGCTGAGCTCGCCGGCGGTGTGTTCGATCAATACTTCTCGGACTGTATTATGGGAAGGGATTGAAAAATGGGTTGGCTTTGTTTCTTCATTTTGTTCTGGTTTCTATGCTACGTTTATGATCCGGGAGGTTTGGAATGAATTAAATTATATCCGGTTCAATACCTACAGTGCAAGAGAGGATGCTTTCTTCATTTCGACAGGAGATGATAAACTCGTTGAAAAAAGCTCCCGGCCCCTGAGACATGTACTGGAAGAGCTTTTACAGTCTCACCTATCACATATGACGTATGCACTGCGGACGGGGTGTGTATACACGCATATGATATCATACAGAAATTGTCTTGGCGTACGGAGTACGGAGTACCATTTCAAATTAGCTACAACCAGGCATATAATAATAGGTATCATTGAATTCCACAAGATGCCTATATTATTATATCTGAAGAGGGGTAGGAAACAGTGGATGAAACTACAGACGCAAAGTCCACAAACTCCGCAAAATGATGTCACCCCTCAACCTAGGTAGGGCGCTGCAAATAGTATTTGAGCACTCGTGAGATCAAACTGCATGACTTAATGACTTGTCAGATGCAGGAGGTGGGGTAGAATCACATGAGCTCCTGGAAAAGATCGCCTGAGCTCTGATTAAACATGCACACGCGTGAATGATTCTGCAGCATGTCTTGGGGACAATCACCACGTTAATTCAGGAGGAACGCAACCCTGAATGAAAATCCATATGAATGAAGACATCAATGAAGCGATTCGAGTTATTGAGGGAAGGGAAAGAGGGGCAGGCCTCATGTAAGCTTTTTCTCGTTCTGGGAAACGGGTTGCTGCATGTCCCCGATGCCTTAGGCATCATAATGGTCATACACACCCGTACACATAGACCAATACAGGCCGAACATCATGAGCTAATATAACAAATTTTTAGAGAGTAATTGAAACCTCTCAAAAGGACTCGGTGGAAATTCATTGCCTTTTCTTGCATTTGTAAAACACACCCTACGATTCATCGGACATCTCAGCATTGCCAAGAGATCTTATGACAGCGATATGGCTGTATTGCCTACTCAATCGGGAGTGAAATGCTTGAATTCTCTATGAAAAGGGGTTGAGCGCTATTGCCAAGCCGCCATACAGGGAAGACGGACTGAGGCGGCAGTATCGCCAACATCTTATGTGGACTCGCTAATGTGATATCGCCTGCAAATGTTATTTATGGATTTCTTTCTGTTTCTCCGAGAGTGAGATTCCCTCGAGACAATGGGTGTTTCTAGACTCTAGAGCTGGACCGGTCCTTTTCCAGCAATCACTACATGATGTTCAGTAAGGGGAAACTGACCCTATAATCAACTATCTGCGTTTGAATACGAATTATCTCAAGAATAACCAGTCAGACGAGGAAAGCGGGGTAATCGGGGAAGACGAGGACGTAGAGGACGCGGAGCACGGGGCCGTAGGGGTAGAGGAAACTCTACTGAGACGATTGAAGTTAGTAAAGACGATAGGAACAGCGATAACGAGAATGAGGTACCAACCAGCGAAGAGAACGGGGAAACCAGCGAGGAAGAGGAAGTTGAGCCACCACGACGCAGTCAGCGAGCTGGCCGTGGCAAGGCAGCGCGGTGGTTAGGGGACAAGAACTGACGGAATTCGAATTCTGAATGGAGGCCTGTGATTGTTTAATAAATGCAGCGTTTTTTGTACGATTAAAAGAATGATAAATGTCCTGTTTAAACGATTATACTAAGTGCCAATTTTCCATATCACATGGCCACGCTAAACCGAATAGGAAATGGAGGTGTCGGGGTAATCTGGGGGTGTGTCGGTCTAACACGACCCCTCATTGACCCCCGTTACTCAAGCGCTCATCTATAGCCCGGGTTAATCGAACAAATCTCGACTCAACGACCAGGTTACACATCTCCGCCACCAGAAACACCACGGGAGTCACAACGAGACCCGAAATCAAAAACGTAGCTAGGAAGGCCCCAGGTTTCTGAGACGCGGTATCGGCACCATTATATTCCTCACCTGTTAGTGTTATCCACACATAATGTTTTAGCTGCGTCTGTAACATCAAAAAGACTAACCCATGTGTCGCATACAGCGTGAATGATAATTTTCCGAGATACTGGCAAGGACGGGTATTCAATAATCGCTGAGCATACCCCAGGCCGCTGATCGAATAGACTAATAGGGAGGAGCCCAGCGAGTACCAAGGGTTCTTGTAATCTAACCAACTCTAGAACTCGATCCAGTGATAAGGCAGGAATCGACAGAGGAAAGCGTAATCGGGCGGGAATTCGTTGCCAGCTGGAAGACCGAGAAGATAGATTCCAGCGAGAAAGCATTTAACGTAGCCGTACTTCTGTAAGAAACTGTACTTCTTTCCCTTGATGCTGCCCTTTGACGAACACAATTGTATCTCTGCTATCAACAGACCCGATATAAAACTGCAAACGTCCCAATATGACCGAACCAGAAACAGTAAAAGTACATCGAGACCAGCGACCAAAGACGAGTGTTCTGCTGCCATGTGGACTGGACAGAAATTGTGAAATAGACAATAAATGAGCCGCGTAGCTCGTGTGGCATCGTCCAGAATTGCTCATTCAGACCATGATTGTATTGGAATCTGATTATGTTCGAAATGTCGACCACATATTCACAGAGGTATCTCACATGGCTGGATGGAGAAGTACGTGGAGTGATCGTCATGACCTTGAAACTCACATACCAAAAAGGATAGAAATCTAAAAAGAAAAGAAACTGAGAAATGATCGCAAATGTAAAGGCAGGAAGAAAGAGACGAAAAGGTCTGCGACAATTTGCAGATTGAAGACGGGAAATAAACTGGATGGGCGACCCAGAGTCTCGCAGCCTGAGCAGATTGAAGAGATTGAGCAACCGGAGATGACCATGAGAAGAGGGACCATTGCATCCAATCCCCATAGAAGGCGGAAGGGTAACAGTTGGATCAGATGCCGATTTTCCTCCGCCGGCTGGGCCCAAAATGATCGATAAGGTGTCTTAATCTCTCCATTGAAGTAATGATTGAATGCTATCAAGAAGGTTGCAAGGCCTCTGAGACCGTCGACCCATTGGACCCTCTCCATGTTTTTCACGGGTCGAGGATAATATTAGAAAACTTGAAAGCTTGGGAAGATCTCAAACACAACAAAAGTTTGATCAGATATCTATTGAAATACTCGGGGAAATATGTCTTTCATATTTGAAGAGATGGCCGGTCAAGGTACTCATGGACGCGTCACTACAGACAATTGACATGTCGCGTGCTTCAGATATGTCAGTCTGTACCTCAAACTGTTAAGTATCTCAGCAAAAGGCTTTAGAGTTGCCCATATTGAACTTAAATTGATAGAGAAAGATTCAAGATAATAGAGCTATAGAATCGCCGAATAGCGAATAATACTGCAGAGTATTATGCATTTGATATTACAGACCAGACTTTCTGATGAACACTGCAAACGAGTGTATGTGATTAAGATTAATGTATGTAGCTAAGTATATCCACCGCAAGAGAACCTTCAGTGCTTGTCGTTGGCCAGGCTCTCCGCTTCTGCCTCAATGTACAAATATGTTGTGCAACACGCGTTTCCACATCAAGAAAAGACGAGGCAAAGGGGTCTGAGAGTTATTTACAGGATATCTCCAACAGCCTCAAGAGTGGTGGGGAGACCGTGGCTCAGATCCTCGTCCAGACCTTCACAGAGGATGGTGTTGACTCCGTCGGTAAGCTCGGAGACAAGTCCGTCTCCACCACGTCCGCCGCAAGGGTGTCCATCGGCACCGACGCCAGTGGGGATCTCGTTGACGGTTCCGGGGGCACCAGCTCCAGCAATGGGGACAGGAGCATGAGGAGCCGGAGCCGGAGCCGGAGCAGCGGGAGCAGCGACGCCGGGAGCGGCCTCTCCGAGGTAGCCCTCGCCGCGAGGGATGGCGTCTAGGGGATGAATTAGCGGAGTTCTTCAACATGGGAGTGCAAGAAAGAGTTCATACTACGAATAGGGACAGCAGCAACGCTCAGGAAGAGGCCGCAGAAGGCAGCGGAGGACAGCAAAGTGAAACGCATTTTTATGGTTGAACAAAGAGGAGAGCGGTAGAGCAGGAGGCTTTGCTGAAGGCTTTGGGACTTGAGGGCTTTGAAAGAAAGGCTTGAGCGTGTTGATTTCAAGTCAAGTTCGGGCGACACATCGTGGTTTAAATATTCCACGATTCGAAGGCCATGGCAGCCATGAGTCCCTTCTAATTTCCATTTTCAGCTCACCAGACCCCGATGCTCGAGAATAGGGGCACTTTTCCAATAATCGAAAGCCACAAGAGAGGTCGTTTGGTTTGTTCGTATACTCAGAATAGACGGAGCTCTGTATGGGCATCCTAATGCGGGAATCAGTAGAGACGAGATGCAGGTTCAAGGGGCCCTAAGCCCACACCGCGTTTTGTCCGGGGTTGATATCGCATACATAGGCCCGAATCTTGCAGAAAATGTGATATGAACAACAGCCCCCTGAACTAATGGGGCTTTCAATCGGGGTTTGCCTCCGGGGCCAAGTGTCACATTTGATGGCTCATGGTTGAGTAGATCATGCTGCTTCTGTTTCCTCCCCTGAGTCCTCAATGTTAGAAAGCACTTGATTTAATAAGCCCATTCACGAGCCATGGTATTATACTGGTCATGTTTTGATTAATGGCTTTCATGGGAATGTTGTGCAGGACATAAGCTAGCATAGTGAACAGAGAGGTCACATACCGACGAACTATTGTTCCTGGGACCAAAAATGATATATGCATGTACTCTGATCTAGCTTGCATAGAGATCTTTTTTCGAGGACTAACTAGAATACAAGTCCTGGACTTTCTTTCGCGGTTTCTGTGCTGTCGTGCCCCAGCGCCGTAAACCTTCCGAGTTCGCATCGTGATTGCATTCAATAATTGTCACCTACAGAATTCTCAACCCCGGAAACCTACTCGATATTTCCGAACAAAATAAATTCATTGGTGCATCTTGAGTTCAGTTTGTCAGTCATCGAGTGGCTCATCGTCCATAATAGATCCTTCCATGCAGCCACAATGTAAGGAAGGGCTCGACAAGAGCTCTGGATGGTACTGTGAAGCTAATAGTTAACTGTAAGCGCAAAGCCAAGGCATGATTTGAATAAGGCCGACAACTTACGGAGTACTCCGTACACTCCGTAAACTCAGTATGACTCGTAGAAGTGGTAGCCGCGCATGGCTTGGCATATGATGAGTGTTATATCACATCTTTAGCTCTAATTAGGACATTATGGAGAACTTAGTGTCTTCAGCCGGCTATCATCGGCGGATTCGCTACTATAAGATTTTGACTATTTACACATTGCATACGCAAGGGGCGGAAAACATGTGATATCTTTAAAAAGGTTAAATTTGAGGAGTTGGTCCGCGGAAACAGGGGGAGCAACAGGGGGATCAACAGGGGAACAAATGCCTCCTTGCTTCATAAAGCCCGTATAGCTGGACTTGTCTCATTGTGCGAGTCGTTGAGCGTCGTCTAGAGCTCACCGGAGTTTTTGTTCATTGTCTGAATTATTGTATGGCGCCCTTGATCTTCAGTTAATCGTTTCGCGCGCCTGACTTCCCTCGCAGAGACAGCGCTCCGGCGTCTTCCCATTGGATTGGGGAGAATTTATGCACTATAAACGACATGGGAGAGCTGACCAATGGCAATGCAAGCATCACTCGACATGCGTGGAACCATTCAAACCGAATATACGTCGCGTTGAGATACAATTACCTAATATGTCCATTAACGTTGCTATCGACGTTCTACGGTATGTATGCCCGCAGTTGAAGATGCAAGAAAGGGGATTCTGATTGTCAGTGAACAATTTTTAAAAAAAATTGTTTATGCAACTGGGCTTCACTACATGGAAGTGATAGATTACGATGACTGGCATCAATCTCGCTGACACTACGTTCGGACTTCTAACTAGACCAAAAGCCAGCTGACTGATGGTTCTGTCCTTGTAGTAACTACTTGATGTTGGACCGCTTCTCCTTCCTAATGTAGTTGAGTGTGTCACCTGATCCACACAGTAGACAACTCTCTCGCAGCTACGCTGCATCTTGAGGAATACAAGCATCTTTCTCCTCTTCATCGCACCGTAATCCTGACACTTGATATATCAACACTATTGATCATCGGGCTAAAAATTGTTTACTGAAGGTTGACAAAGGTGAGAGAAGGTAAGCATTGGCAAATTTATTGAATATAGTAATGATTCAAGCTACATCCCGGTCGTGATATGTATTGAAAACACTTCCGGCATACGCTGTGATATCTGGAGATGCTCTAGGCGCCTAGGGGCCACCATGGAGGTCAACGACGGTAAAACGAACGATCCTTGGGATTTCTTGATAGATAGCAATGATCGGATGTTGATTGATGAAGGAATGGTCGATGTCTTCTATGGTGCTGTTCACATATAAGCTGTCTTTGGAGGAGCAATGCTTAGCACCTTGCCTCAGGCATTCAACGGTGTTGCCCTAAACAAACGGCAAGATGCTTGGCATAAATGCCTCAGACATCACAATTCGCACAACTCTACTCTCAGCTCATTTCGGCGAAGGTGCACCATTCCACGCCCTCGAATTGATTAACCCAACCAATGAACCTGAGGTATGATTAGAAATGAGAGAAACCAAAGTGCAAGAGCCCAAGATCATCTACTTTTCATGAAAACGAAGAACGCGTGGTTTGCCGCTTACTTGAGGATGACATGTTACCGGAACAACAAAGTTATCAAAGTTTTCATAGCAGTAGAGACACGATTCCTGCCATATATGAAGCAATACGCGTGGATCGATATATTCTTGCTGGATTGTGCTGTTAGCTTAGAGCTTGAAATGGAGAGAAAAGACTGAGGCATGTTACAGAATTGGGTATACGTGGATCAAATTGAAAAGCCGGCCAGTCATCGAAAGTCCATGAGGCTGGATGATTCGAAGAATATTTAGTTCACCATGTCCGTCGCTTGTCTCTAATTGAATTAAGCATTACCTGGTACTTCTACTATGTTTGATGCCTCCCTATGAGTTGAAGGAACCATCCAGTGTTTTGCGTCCTTCGAATAATCGGTGGTGATATGCCTGTCACCATCGTTGGGAGCATAATAACAGTGGAAGTCTTGGTGCATCATTGAATGGTCTGGTTATATAATTTTAGCAAGGGACAGCTCCGCACGCGTCGCCGATTTTGGCATACCATATGTGAGCTCCAGTTCTTCCAAAATAGAGACTTGGCAAGGGTGTGGATCCCAAGCTAGCGCGGTGAATCCCTTGAGCCCCTTTCCACAGAACTGAGTAACAATCTGTGTTGACTTGATCATGACATCCCGAAATTGCTGGGTCGTTAAATTGCCCGGGTACCTTTGAGATCTTCGTCAACACCGACCGGACAACGACTTCGACCACAAAGGTGAAAGTAATTTGCTCTTACTCGTGGGTATATGCATGGAGTCCACTATTGTCCTGTGAGCTGTTGCCCCTGCAAAAAGGAAGCATCGAGAAGACTGACATTTCGTGGCCAGCATCCCGGACTTCGGCCATCTCTTCTGGGAATGTTCCTACTGTATGGACAGGCATAAACCTAAGAGATTATTTTCGATTAGACTGACTTAACAATTCTTTTGATCTTCGCGGGGCCCTACCAGGAGCAATGAATGTTCTTCTGATCGAATAATTTCAACAGGCGTTTGGTCCCTATTTTTGCCCCGAAAACACCTATTGCACCATTAGTGCATTCTATCGTCGAAACTCCAAAGTTCCGGTATGGGCTGACCTCTGGAGACAGCAGAGATATTTGGTCTGGAGCCATCACTAGTATTGATATGGTTTGCAACCGCATCGACATCAACACCGTAACCGCACAGAACTCGCTTTTTGTTGCCCATCGTCGCAAAATTCGGCTGTCTTTCACTTGTACAACTGGAATGTACTGGACAGCTCGCACGATGAAATGGTAGGAAGTCTCCAAGATGCCACCCAAAAGCCGACGAAAGTTCACTGTGGCAAAAATATCTATCCACTGCACCTGCTGAGCGAAGGGCTATTCAAGTACCTGTATGCAGTGTACTGCTCGCGGTAACAGTTGACGAGTATGAATATGTCAATTGCTTCAACCAACAAAGTTCGGGGATCACCAACAAGCCGATATACCAGCGAAACCGGTTTCGCAACAACAAAGTTTACCCAGAGTTCGGATTACAGACGTATTTTCGGGTATGTTAATCCATCGCCATTGACAATCTTGCGATCGTACAAAATGATTGGGGTTATGCTTGCTGGGAGTGAGAGACCTGAGCTGGCTTTGTGTACGCCAATCAACCTGATCAATGATCCCGGTCGAACTTACAAAGCAGAGCCCCCATAAGAATGGGTGGTGACTTTGAAGCTAAGCAAACAATCGAAAAGAAACAACCATAGTTAATTACGGACAAGATTAATGTTAAGATCGGTGTTAAGGTTAGCGTACCATGATATCCAAAACATTTACCAAAGCACTCAATGGATGCTCACTCGCGTGGAAACAGCAGTCCCATCGTCATAGTCACACATAACCAGCAAGCTGTTCCCATCCACCGTGACTTCTCCAGCCCAGTGGCAGTTCTTGTGTACGAGAGTCTTTTGGCCCCAGGTGGCTCCTCCGTCGGTGCTAACAACGACCTTGACATTCGGGGGCTTCGACTTCCCAGCCTCCAGATTATCTTCCCAGGTCGAGAAGCTAACCACCAGAGTCTTGTCACCGACGCGAACAATCTGAGGAGCCGCCTCGGTGGGGGTTCCATTCGTGCCCTTGTAAACCACCCTCCGGTTGCCCCAAGTCTTCCCATCGTCGTCGGACGTGATCGACGTGATGCCCGTGTTTGGCGACAAGCTTTCGAAGACAGCGATCAACTTCTTCGAACCCGGCGCTACACGCGCGACGCCCACCATGCCATCGCGTTTCTGGATGTCGCCGCCGGAAATCGTCTGCTCCTTGCCCCACGTCTTGCCTCCATCCGTGGATCGAACGAGGATGTTGTTCTGATCCTTTCCATCGGTGCGTGTCTCCCGCGAGAAAAACAGCATCAAATCCCCATCCAGTCCGTCCAGTAGGAACGGCTCCCAAAGCCCCAACCCCGTGGTTTGGGTCGTGGCGACTGTGCCGAGCTTCGCCCATGTCTTCCCACCATCATCAGACGAATACACGAGGATGATATGATTGATGTATTTTGTGTCGTTCGCGTCGCGCTCGGGGTTTCGAAACGCCAGCAGGATCCGGTCCGAGCCGGGCAGTTGGTGCAGGTAGCAGTTGTTCAGGCCGTGCTTTGTTTTCTCCTCAGTGATCGCGGTGCCCACGGGCTTCCAGGTCTTGCCACGGTCGGTCGAGCGGACTGTCTCGAGTGCGAACTTTCCATCCTTGTATGACCGAAAACATCCCAGTAGCGAGTTGTCTTTGATGTAGGTGGCGCGTGGGTAGGTGCCTTCCCCCATGATCCCCGACTTGCCGTCGACGCGAACCTCGCGCTTCGCTATCGGTGATGGGGAGGCATTGGCGAGAGGAAGGAGAATGAGGAAGATCAGGAGGGAAAAGATCGACAAAGGCAGTCGAGCTGAATTCATTTTGGAAATCCGAACGAACGTAGTATCTGTCTCTCTGTGTGAGAATGAGTGGAGGGAGGCTCTGATACCGAAGAAAGTCCACATCATAAAGAATCTGGGATAATCTCAGTATCTTATAAAGATGATGGTCGAGTGTTCCTCTAGCCAATTCCGGTCAAAATTTAGCATCAGCACTGCGCTGAGGCTGAGGTGCTTGGCATGCTGATTGTCAGCGGCACTAAAGGAAATAGGAGACCCGACCAGCCCTACGAGCCCCTGCGATCGCCCACAGCGGAGGGACTAAACTAATATGGCTGTGTTGATCTTTTCCCATTTACGGTAAGAGAATGACAGACTGCTCTATCATTTTAGAACAGGAGTTTCATGATACGTCATGGGCTTGATGGTTTCGGTTTATACATGATCCAATAGTATGCCTCAGGCTGAACATTAAATTTCAAGTTTGATCAAGTCACCATCGCTAGATAGAACGTGGCGAAGTATACAAACCATCTAACGGCGTGAAGTTTAAAACCCTTGCTTCTCGCTGCAGCAAGGGGTGTATGTCATTCAACTTGAGCCGCTCTTCAAGGGTTTTATCCGCTTTTCATACTTGTTAAGCCTTGTTAAGCCAGAAGAATATTGTGTTAATGTTCATGTCATAATAGACAACGGACAGGATCCTATACCTTCGTAGAAGCTCAAATCGCCTTCATATAATTTGGAGTCTCATCACAGGTATGGTATGCTCCGGTTTTGTTACTATTAGAAACGTATTATTTTACTGCGAAGCCCCGTGACTGTATCAAATGTCATTTTTACGTCAATTGCTATTTATATTTTGCTTTAGCAGGATCGAACGTCTATCATTTTATCAAGTGGAATTGTCCTAGCTTCACATCACCGAGTTTGACAGCCACCGAATTGCCGCTTATTTACGTCGATGGGCTGCATCAGTGGTCCGAAAAACATGACATCGTCGCCATGTTACTGACCATGTGCAACCCAATCATCTGCACGAGATGTATCACTTCGACTGATATGCGACAGAACGCGTTCGGAAATCAACGTGAATGGCTTTGTATGCAAGAAACATACGTGGGTTATGCAGGTTATGCATAGCTAGAACACAAACGGGAATGATGTTCCGGATCCGCCCACCCTCGTGAATGCAAGAAATAAAGCACTGGATGTTGGCAGATACACATATTCTCAGGCAGGCATGCTTCCTCGACACCCAAAATGCAGAGATATGACCAATCAGATAGTATTCGCCTTCGAGGACATCCATAAGACACCATCATGCCCCTCTTCGCAACTGTCTCAACTGTCGAGTGTTGTCTTCACATCAGTTGAATCAGATCGGTTTACATTTCTCGTTCACTGAATACTGTCGAATATGTCGTCTACCCAAAGGGCTTTGCTCATCGCAGCCCCCTTTGAGGGCTTGAACGGAACTCTCTATGATGCTGAGAGTATCCTTCGGGTGCTGGAAAGCAAAGGATTCGACGCCGTCACCTGCTTTGGGGAGAATGCGACCCGAAGCGGCATCTTCGAAGCGTGGGAGCGTCTGATCTCTGAAACTCAGGAGGATGATGCGGTGGTGCTCTACTATTCCGGACACGGCGGGCTGGTGCAATCGCCCCAAGGCGACAAGTCCGCGGAGGCGGTCGATATCACCACACCTTGGAGATACCAGTTCCTCGTACCGGTGGACTACGATCAGTCGACAGAGAACGACTTTCGGGGGATCTTAGACGTCGAGATTTCGCACATGCTCCGGCAATTGACCGAGAGAACCCGCAACGTCACTGTCATTCTGGATTGTTGTCATTCCGGGCGGATGTTCCGTGCCCCTATGATGGATACCCAGGCGCGCCAGAAAAGTCTCAAGGATGTTCAGTTCCACCAGGTGGCGCAGCATATCACCGCTATGCAGGGACAGGGCCAGCTTGAAGGACAGAGTTTCTTGACGGGTAATCCTCACGCCGTCCGAATCGTGGCGACCGCTCCGTCCGAATCGGCATGGGAATACATGAACCCGCGGGGCGAGTGGTGTGGCACGTATACGGAGGCCCTGGTCAAAGTTATTGATGACTGCTGGGGTCACGAAATGTCCTGGAAGACCATCTTTCTGCGCGTACGACAGCTCGTTAATAACCGTTTCCCGGGCCAACATCCTCAGGTAGAAGGTCCGGAGACTCGCGTTCCGTTCTCTCTTCGACAGGCACCGTCTTGCGTCCTGCAGATCAAGATTGTCAACGGTCAGCCGATCATTCAGGGAGGAAGTGTGCTGGGGGTTCGAACGGGGAACACGTACACTATTGTTCCTTTGAGTATGAACGACCAGAAGGTATCCGGGGACGACTTTCCCGAAGCCACGGTGACAAACGTTGCCGCATTCAAGGCGAAAGTTAAGCTGTCATCGATGCCCTCCTGGTTATCGCTCAGTAACGTTGGTGCGCTGGCGGTGTTGAAGCGAGAGGCCATTGATAAGCATCCGATCGAAGTCCCCGAGTCGCTATCCTTTTTACGACAGCAAGTCGAAGAGTCCACTTTACTTCGATGCCACACCGCGGATGAAAGTGACCCGCCGCTTCTCGAATTTTGCCAGGAGGATGACTCGTTCGTGCTTCTGAACCAGCAAGGCGTGGAGCTTGGATCGAGCCCACTGAACGAAGAGGAGAACTCACGTCGGGGCAAGAACCTCATCATCACGGCCGAAAGACTTGTCCGCGCTCAGCGCGTGCTGTCCTTGAAGTGCGAAAAACCAGCTGACAAACTTGATCATATGCTGTATCACGAAATCGGGGTCGTCGAGGATGAGGAGCCAACTCGGTCGTCGCAGCTCGGTGGGGAGGACTACCATGTTTTGGAAAAAGAGTCAGTCTACATAAAATTGCACAACAGGGGCAGGGACACTGTTTACGTATCTGTGTTTGACATCAACGTTACCGGAGAAATTTCCTTTATCACTCAAACCAATCCGGAGGGCATCGAGCTACCGGAGCAACGATCCACTATCCTGGGCAGTGACGACTTTGGAGAGCTCGAGGGATTAGCGATCACATGGCCCAAGGATGTCTCTAAGAAGCTCCCGATTGACGAGCAGTTCTTGCTAATCATCACCAATACACCGATGGATGTCCGGTATCTCGCCGACTCCGTGAACATTGAGCATGCGACCGGCCGAGATGCAGCAAGAGCGATCAGCACGGCCAAGATTCAATATGACGTAGTGCATCTCAAGTTCAAGCTGCACCCAGCGGAACAAAAGGACGAGGTACACAAGATGAACGAGGCCCAGCAGGAACACGGTTTTCCATCCTCCTGCATAACCTGCGGCGAGGAGCCGATTCGCGCCGCGAGCCTACTAGACGTCGAGCACGTCCCGGGGTGGAATGAGCTGCCGTTCACTCCGCCAACCACAATGGCGAAGGTGAAGCAACCGGTCTCTCTTTTGATCCCGTCCATACTTATTCTTTCCTTTGCTGCAGGGTTTGCTTGGTGCAATTGTTAGAACCGCCCAACGTATCCCGCCATGTGTCTGGGTGATCAACAAACACAGCGAAGAAATCACCGTGACCATCTCGAAGTATCGTCCCAATCGACTCCTCACCGGTGTGGGTCTGAATGCCTCTGCGACCGGGGTCGGACTGGACTTCAGCTCTTCAGTAGGTCCATTCCACACTTTCTATCGCTGATTAGTCTAGAGAACTGATGCCGATCGAATTGTGACTAGACCTGGGTCGGTCCGGCGACCAAGAAGACCCTCTCTCCTCAAGCCAGTGGAAAAGGGCAGTGCATGGCCGTTTTCCCTCTCTGGACTCGCAAAGAGGGCTTTGGAGTGATCAGTGTTTTCCGGGGTCCTCAGAAGGAATTGTTCATTGAGAACGACCGCGTGCCGTTGGGAGCCACCATTTACTTTAATGGCGACGCAAACTTCGAGATCGTGGAGTACGGGCGCAGTGATAGAGGCGGACGGGATTCGGGCATTGGCTTGATCATTTGATCCTATGGCGAGAATTGTCAGTCAGGGAAGAACACTTGGATAACTGGCTGACTTCTTTGTATGCGGTAGATTGTGAGCTGCGTTTTCTATCTCAGTATGAATATCTAGGATGTATACAGAGCAGTCCAGGGCAGGCATACACGACTACTGTCAGAGGATGAGGCATCTGACACGGAACAATGAGTATTGAGATGAAAGACTGTTTAGTATACGGTATACGCAGCCGGTGGGGTAACTGGCCGGTTCAGCGCCCCATACATTCCCTTTTAGGTACTCTACAGACGCCAGAAGCCGTCGTCCACGTTTATCATGCTTTTTCAGTTGTTTTTACATTGAAGATTTTCACTTTTTTAGGTTATTTGAGTACTTTCAAGGCCCCCCAGGGTGCCTATTCGCTCTCTAGGGGTCTTATTTGTTGGAGTTTCACGGTATTATAGGGCTAGGTTAGGTAGATAGGACGGCCGACCTCAAAGCCGTCCTCCCCCAGCATAGCGGCCGTAGCCAGGCACGCTGAAAGGGTATGAATACTATTACTACTACTACTATTAATACTATCTAGGATGTAGGCCTTGATTGTTGGCAAAGGATCAAGAGATACTGTACAAGAATTTTATAAAATATAAAAACGAAGAAACAGGGCCCAGCACAGATGTAATGGGAAAAAAAATAAAAATAACACAGGACGACAATTTTAACGATTAACAACGACCTTGGTGTTGTGATGGCCACCACGACCACCACGGCGGCCGGGCCCTCTCTTCTTGCGAGCCGGGGGGAGGCAGGCCAACGCCGGGTCATGACAGTTCCCACACAACCGTCACCGTGGGTAGCATGAACCCGGGTGCTCCATTCCATCGCAGAGAGGAGTTGAACATTTTCCACGCTTGCGTTTAGTGGGGGCGGCCGGGAACGCAGAAGACGGGAGCGCAGGAGGCGGGAGCGTCCCGGCGCCAAGAACCCCTTCCCTTGTATCTCCTCAGTCTTTGCTTTCCAATATGTATTTCATAAAGCTTTCTAACTTACCGTGGAGGGATGGGGGCGGGGGCGGGGGCAGCATTTTCTTTTTTTGTTGTAATCAAACCCCGGAGGGCGAGATAACCTCAATTTATGATGTTGTAAATATTATGGCTGTCCCCCGGGCCCCCCTTCTGGTCGCGGTCGTGGTCGCCGGGTAGGCTTCATCAGAGCCCACGTCGGTCCAGGCCCAACCCAGCCCAACCCACGAATAGGTTGGGCCATGGGCCGAGTCCTTTGGCCCATAATGGATAATGGGCCCTGGGCCCCCAATTGGGCCACAAACAGTACAAACATGCCTATGTTCCCTGGCTGCATAATTTATGCGATTTTTAGCTGTAATATTGAGTATTTCCTTTACATCTTGCCATTCAATTTGAAACTATTACGCAAATAGGAATAAGATTGGAACTTTAATTCAAGAAGAATAGATTAAAATAACTATCACTAATTAATGATACTCAAAGGTATCATCCTCTCGACTCTTACGCTTCCGTCCTGACGCCCGTAGCTGACTGTTATTCTCTGGCAGATTGAGCTCAGTGTGATCCTCGATAGTAGGAGAAGGAGCTACTTCTACCACTATCTCATTATTCAATTTGTTATTTGACTTCTCAGTATTATTGATTGGTTTCACTTTAACCTTATCAAGCCTTTCGTTTTTCTCTTCTTTTGCTGTTTCAATCTCCTCTCTCTCAAAAAATTTCTTTAGCCGCTGAGACTCCTTCTCTTCAAGATCAAATCTTGAAATACAGAGGAACATCATCAGCTCTTAAATCGTTTCGAATTTTATCCTTCCTTATCGATAATGACAGATATCTCGAGCAGTATTAAACAGTCGTTCAATACCAGTACTAGTTGCTGAAACTGAGAAAAAGTCTCGCGCAAGAGCGGCAATCGCCGGAAAACGGTCTTGATTTTCTTTCCAGAACGCAAAAGGCCCAATATCAATTATATCTATTAATCAGTTAATACTATATAATCTATATTTCGTTAAAATATACCACTGTCAAGATATTGTATCATTTTATTAGCGGCTACCTTTGGCCGCTTTTTACTTCCGTTTAATATTTTATCAAGTTTTGAACTTGGCCTGACTGCGACTTGAGAGCCTCCTTGCGATCCTTAAGTATCAGAAAGATAATCCTGATATGGAGCAAGAGCTTCTTGAAAGGATTTGCGATAAGTATCGCGTCACTTTTGACCCCAATCGTTAGTCAGAAAGAACCGAAATTTGTTAACAGGCGCAAATATTGTATTAACCGCGTAAATATGCCTTCGAATATTATCAGTCTGAGAGTAATATTTATCCAGCTTCAATCGGCCAGCTTCAAGTGCGTCAAGTAAATATTCTTTTCATAAAATACTCTTTCGCTGGAGCTGCTTCATTGACTGTTTAAAACGTTTAGAGAGTTTGCTGTAAATCTTAAATACATAATGCGCAATGATATCTTGAGTCTTAAAAAGTTGAGTGGTATAGTCAAAAAATAGCTCAATAATGCAAAGAAAATAGTAAACTTGATACCACTCTTTATTATTAATTAATAGATCCTTACGATTATACTCAAAGCAGAAAGGTATAAAAATAGCACAGAACCGCTTTGTACGATAAAACATTAGGAATATTAAATTCTACCGAGTCTTCACATCCTGGATCGGTATAAGCCTTGGATCCTTCATCTGAAGATTACTAAATGTTTTATGACGTTGAAGACTTGCGTTCACGTAAATCGCAATATGGCGGATCTTATTTAATGTATAAGAGATCTCTCTCTCCCGGTACTATGCATTTGCTTAAGGTATTAAAGACTGTTGCTCTGTCTACTTTGTTTCAGCTGTATGGTTTAATGGGACTGCCTTGATGTGACTAAGAAGCTGGTTCAGGCTGAGCTGGATAATATGTGCAAGGCACGGAATTCGGATAATAATAATATCATCCGATAAGGCTTGCTGGAGCAAATCAATTAATGTCTTGTTATTTGATACATTATCTGTAGTTAAATCAAACATCTGATCTTCAATCTCATGCTTCACAAGGATTTCCACTAGGATACTATTTAAGTTCGTGCCAGTATGTGCCCCAAGAATGGGTTTGAAATCAAGTAGCACCTCACGATAGACACAATCTGCATCGATAAAATATCTTCATTATGTTTATGACAGAGCGCGGATTTCCAGTAACATACCACCAACCCCTATATACCTGATGGGGGTGCCAAATTCATTGCATCAATATCGACCACAATCTGGTTGAGAGTTCCCAAACGTTGCAGTGATCGCAGAGCTTCGGCATACTCGGGGTCTTGCACTATCCGAGACCGAGTCTATTGATTATAAGTGAGTGCTGGATTGTAAATAAAAGGATCTTTTGACATACCTCTTCACTACTCCATCCAATGATCCCGACGACAACATCGTTCTCAAGGTTTGTGCTAGTTCCATATGTGATGGGTGTATGTTTTGCTTTGATAATCTGGACAAATCGATCCCATGCTTCCATTGATGTGGCGACATGCTCAGGGCTTGAGACACTCAAACGAAAAGTCTCAACAATGGACGCCGAAGCCGCCTCTCTGGGACTGGCGTCTGTTTCGAAGAGCTGTAGCGTAGGTGGTCCAGTTACTAGGTGTCTAATTGAGCCGGCGAAAGTGGCAAATTGTTCCGACTTGACGAAGGCATGAAAGTCTTCCGTCTTAACCCATTCTATACCGACGGTGTTAGCGGGCTCCTGGGTATGAATGCCAAATTGTAGAAATACCAAAAAGCAGAATCTCTCTGTATGCATCCCGTACATCCACTCCATTCTCGGTCAGGATAAATCCGCGGAAAGCATTCAGCAAGCCGGGGTTGGGGTCGATCAATCGTTTGCTGATTGTGGGCCAATCCCGCTCAATCTCGTTGAGCGACTCGGGGTCGGTTTTAATAGATGGGAAGATGAGCTCGGTGACAGCCATTGTGAGGATAATTGACGAATAGATATCCTAGAGAAACCAAGATCATCGGGGATTTTTATAGGCAAGGCGAATCTATAAATCCTGCGGGCCTGCGGACTTGGCGCGGTGCATAGACGCCTGACTCATCTATGCATGCATAAGCCTTCTTATGTGATTGGGCCAGCCTTGCGGACTTTGGCGTGGGGGCCGCGGAGTTTCCTGCGGACTTTCGTTTCATTTCTCGCTCCGAACTTCAGCCTTGCTCAAAAGTCAGCAAAATGCCTCGCATGTCAACTGATACCGGTTCTCGGCGGAAATCCTGTGTCGGGTGCGCCCAAGGTAAACGACGGTGCAATCGCCAAACTCCGCAGTGTGCCCGATGCTTGGCACGTGGACTGGAATGCACCTACGTCAATAATCATGCCATATCCACTCGAAAGCGCCAACAGCAAACCACAGCACAGTCTCCATACTTCCCAACGATAGAGTCATCGTCGCAATCTATAGATGATCTTCTGTCTTCTTTGCCCCCCGACGAGCTCACTCTCTTGGGTGATGCAGACTTTCTCGCCTCGTGGCTACCTCCTAGTCCTACTCTCTTCGCCGTCCCTACATTACTTCCCGCTGGTGACTTTCCAGAGGTCGTTGTGATAGACAGATGGTCTACAAAGCAGCTCCTGCGAGGTCTGAAAAGTTACCCGGAAATGTTTGTTCGGTCTCGCAACACTCCCTTCATTCATCATCGCCTTTACGGCGTGTCTCTTCCAGACGCGATGCAAGATGCGTTCATGGTGTCGGCTTCCTACTATAGTAGAACACCAGAGACAGAAGACACAGTTCTTCAGATCCTCGAAACCAAATCGGCAAATCTAGCCCGAAGTTACCACACCACACAGGAAGAACTCCTCGCCGCGGTCCAAGCCTTGATGCTCCTCCACATCATTCAGCTGTTCGACGGCGACGTCCGACAACGTGTCCTGGCAGAGCAGAACATGAATACTTTGCGCGCGTGGACTATGCAGCTTCAAGTTCGTGCCGGTGAACTCGGACCGATGCCAACATGGCAGGAATGGATTTTCACAGAAAGCGTTCGGCGAACGGTCATCATTTCCGTGCTGATCGAGGGACTTTATTCGATGTTAAAGACGGGAAGTTGTAGGATTGTGAGGCAGTTGAGTGTCATGCCCTTCACGTCCGGTACTTCGTTCTGGAACATCAGTAGCGATGCGTCGTGGATTGCGGAGTCGTATCGTTTGGGTTCGGATACCGTGCTTTACGGGGATTTTTCGAGGGCTTTTGAGATAGGGCGGATGTCCCGGAAACTGGATGCTTTTGAGAAATTACTGCTTGCGCCTTGTATAGGCGAGCGAGACAGAGAAATACTTGAGCTAGAAGATTCATGAAACTTGGTTGTGACTCTTCGACCCGTCCAATAATCCGCATGTGAAGATCCTGCAGTTTTCTCGCGGTTCTGGAGAGAAAGGAAAATGGACCAATAAAAGAAGACAAATAAAACAAAAGCTTCACCCAGAACTCCCCCCATTGAAGGGATTTGGGCCGGCAAAGTAAGAGGTGCCGTAGAAATGGTAGTTGACGGCAGATGGGGTTCTCGCAGGGGCCTGACGTGGTGCCGAGGCGGGGTGTGTCTTGATTTGCACAGCTAACTAAAAGGCCTACACCGGTCGGGGTGCTCCCACCCCCTACCTTCCCCATTGATGAGGTTCAGACCGGTGAAGTAACTACCTCCGTAAAAATTATGGTTGTTCAGTAGACGCCGCGGCCACGGGGCCCTAACATCGAGGCGAGGGGTGTCGAAATCGACACTGCTTGCAAAAAGGGCGGCACTTCCCACGATACCGAAACCTCCCACAGCCCAGCTTCGGGAATTTAGGCTTGACCATAAAGATGGTTCTTAACGACTCAGAGGTATGGTGGGCTCGAATCTGCCTTTTCTTCTTTTGTTCGACGCTGTAGTCGGAGACGTGGCAGATGGCGGCGGCGACACACCCGGCAGTACGGCTTGCAGGGCCCTTCGTGGGCAAGCCTACCGCAGTTGGGATTTGGACATTTCGCCCGTTCCGAAACTTCCATTAGTCACTAAGCAAATAGGCGGTGCGCTCGAGCTTACCACGCTTCTGTCGTTTGGCCGGTGGAGGGCGAATCTCCTCCACCCCCAATAAAAAATAGTTAGACTCCTTCCACCACCCACGCCAGCGGCTCCGAATGTACTGATTGTAGATGAGTCCGACGATGGCCGAAGAGGATAGGAGCGCTGAGATAGCGGGTGGGACTGTGCGGGAAGATCCAAAGGTCGTGTGTTCGAGCCGCTATTAGAGCGGGCTTGAAGTTCAATATGAAGCGGAAGGCTTCCTGAGGACCAAAGACTCTCTGAACCAGCTATACTGAGCACGAGGGCGTACCTCATCCTTTCGCTATCGTCAAATCTTTTAGTGATACAATATATCTCAATAATCGTTCAGGGCTCTTGTTACCTCCATTCGTTGCTTCATGTGCCCAGTAGCTTTGTTAATAAAGGTCTGGAGCTTGTGCTTTATCATTGGGATATTGTTTATGAAAGGCACAATCCACGTGAGATGTCCGTAAACACCGAAAAAGTGCGTAAACGCTGCAATGCTATTGAGAAATTGGTCCTCATCTGCTCCTTCAACAAGATGAAGTGACTCATCGAATGCGGCTTTTGCTGCGATCTGTCCTGTCCTTTTAACTACCATTCAACTATTGCGGGGGGAAAGTCACTCACATCCATGATCCAGAAGTGAAGGTATTCTGTGATATCTATCGGAGATTCTTTCTTATTCTCAATTCTCCCCAAGAACATCTTGGTTATCTCCTTCACTCGTGACTCGTTTTCCTCACCTAATCCAGTTAGACGTGAGTTACCATGTCCTCAAAAGGCCTCACAAACCGTTTTCCTTGAACGCTAAGTCCCAGTACTTGCGTTGTTTAGAGTGTTATTTCCGGTCTCGCACAGCAAACATGGGATCCAGCGGACTAAATACCTCATGCCAAGGCCCTGGGATGCATGAGGTCGTCTTGCTGTGAATAGCCTTGATAGCAGCAGGATCGCTGATAAAAAGATCGTTGGGGCCTTTTGATAAAAATCTTATTAGTTATTGTGTTAAGTGTATAAGAGATTGAGTGGACGTACCAGCACGAACGAAGTCCCCATATCGTTCATGGAGTTTCCGTGTTTCAATGAACAGCTGCGTATTCTTCATGCTCAAGAATAACACGTAAGCCTTGGATAGTCGGCCAAGGAGCGGGCCTTTGAATTGTCGCAGAGGATGGAACCATGTTCTGTAGAGAATGGTACTAAGCAAGGTCCCCGTGATCATACTCAAGGCGGTGCTGGCTACTGTCCAACAAGTTGACCAAAGAGATGACTGTGACTCTGTGTCCCAAAAAATAAACGCAAAAATCGCAACATGCAGCATAAAAAAGACCTCACCAGATGAGGGCCTTTCATCTCCCATTCTCCATGGCGCAAGACGAAGACATGCGTCGCAGCGCCTGCGAGGCCGCTAAATATGTTGATTACCATTAAGGAAACTTTTCCAGAGGAGCTAGGTAGTGTGTCCGGATGTGTAAATGATGGGAAAGTTGAAACCCCAGAATGGAACCAGATGAGTGCATATATTCAGGAGTTGTATCTTCCGCGCGCTGAGTTACTAAAGCAGATAAGAACGGGCATACTGAACTGATTTGGATATCCTAAACTTCGTCTCTTATAAAGTGGCGATCTTCGCTCGTTGACAACATTTCTCCAACAACTAATTCACGGCACGACAGAATATTTGTCTTTAACCCTTTTATATACATGTGTCTAATTCGGACATAAACATGCAAGGGTACATCATATTTCATCTGGCTGCATAATTCTCTCCGTCAAATCGGGGAATTTTTGCTCTATCTCCACCCCTTGCATGTTGTGGAATGCGACAGTGTGAGCCACGAAATATGAGAGACGTTCCTCCGGAGTCCGACCTCTTCTAGTGATAGCCTACTACAAGGTCTAGCGGAACAGCATGCCCAAACCTAACTAGTACTATGTTGTCACTCTAAGTAATTAGTTCTCTCTACTCTCTAACATAAGCCGCAATGACAATGCTACTGGACTAACCGGGCGATCATCTTGCAAACTAAGCCAATTTGCGGTCTCGTTTCTCCCAGCGGCTGTAACTGCAACTTTCTGCAGACTTTATGCGGACTAGCCTTGAGCGCTGGGACAAGCCAACCCCAAGCACTGGCCCTGAGATAGTATTGAACACTCACCCCATGGGGGGCACGCGCGTGGAGAACGTCAGTGGACCCTGATTAGCTACACCGGCATATATGCCTTGCTTTAAATTAGCGAAAGTCTAGAGTTTCATTATTCATTGTGAAAATCCGGGTTGTTTATAGATATCTCATATGATTTAATACATTTTTTGTGGTGCTTTGATCGAGGCTTGGAAGTAGGTAACCGCTTGATCGTTTGATATTCGTAAAATGACTCAACACGGGGCCAGAAATGTGAAGAGTCCTATTCACATGTCAGTGTTGGGGCCGAAAGGTCGAAGCGAATCAATCTATCCTGTGGTACGGAGTAGTGGAGTATTCGAGGCCGTGTCATAGAACAAACCTGTAGAGAAATTCAGGAGGCAGTGACGCCAGCCTTGTCCAGACATCACCCTAAGGATCTAACTATATGAACGAGGAAATCTATATAAAGGCCGTAAATCACAATCAACATCCTCTTTCCCGTTCTCACCCTCATTCGCCGCTTCATCCTCGTCCTCATCTCCATCTTCACCGTCAGTCACCCAACCCTCAACGTTCAAAAATGAAACCATCTTTCGAGATCCTCGCGGGCCTCGCCCTCCTTTCAATTCCCGCTCTCGTGCGCGCGGACTGTAAACTCAACAACGCGATCGGCGACGACGAGAAAACCAGCGAAGACCGCTCAGAGCTTTGTCTCGCCGAAGGTCCCAACAGATGGACCTTTGCCTTGCAGATCAGCGAGGTCAGCGTGCCTACATTTGATGAAGACAACCCATTTGGTGGGTTGACTGGCTCCAAGGCCTTTGTTCTTTACGACGACGTCTGCAACCGCGTGGGTGTTTACTCCCCGAACAACGAGGGAAATGACTGTGGTATTCCTTACACTATCGAGGAGGAATGGCTGTCGGACCCACTCACTGTCACCAAAATCAATTTTGATGTTGGCAAACCTTTCTTCAAATTCAGCTACGCCGACAACGAGTACCAGACTGGGCAGGATGGAAATGAATGCAGCGACATCAGCTCGGGTCTGCGTGCGGAGCAGGCCTGCCAGGCTACTTTCTCTAACTGGGTGGAATAGGAGGGTAGCCACTAGAAGCTCGTCGGATAATCATCATGATGTGTCCAGGCCGTTATGAGGGTTTTATTCGTTCTTCATTTTTTTATTTATTTTTGGTGCTTATGTGATTATATGACCGCTCATTTGTACTTATGTTTCAATAAAATCATGTATTCTGTGATCCCATTTCTTACCAGTAACTTCTAACTGCTCTCCTCACTGTATGTTCTTCCTTTCGTATACAGATCACCAGTCTCCTCTAAGCCTTTCTTCGACGTCTCTGGCAGAAACATCCACGTATAAATCATACCCACGAGCGATATAGCCGAAAAGAACCAGAATGTTCCCTTTGGTTCTAGAGATCCATGTTCAAGTAGCATAGTGGGAACGGCCTATTGGAGACGCCACCGTTAGTTCACTTGAATAACCTTTCCAATCCATTTCGTTCATAACACACCTTTGAAATCCCCATCCTGTTCCCATAATGCCATATAGTCACCAAACTCGAACCCGCGAGTCTCACATGAAGTGGAAAGATCTCCGCGGTGATAATGTACTGGATCGAATTCCAACCCAATGCCCACGCCACACCGATCAGGTAAATCATGACGATGGCGCCGATGGCGGCGTGCTGTGCGGCGGATGCGTCCTGAGATGCCTCGGAGAAGCTCGAGTAGATGGTGAGAAATATGGCGCAATAGACGAATGCTACCAGTTGCATGGTTAGTCCGATATAGAGTGTTCTGCGTCGACCGAGGAAGTCGATCATGAACAAGGCGGAACCGAGCGCAGAGGCAAATTTCACGGCACCGAAGATCGCTGTCGTGAAGAGCTTCTGCGATTGGCCCTTTATTCCGAATAGGGCGAAGAGGCGAGGGGCGTAAGCTGTTTGGTTCTCGTGTTAGTCGCTATCTATTGTTGGAAACCCTGCTAGGGAGGTGTGGTGGTCTCCTTACTTGTTATAGACGTTGGCCCGGACCACTGAATCAGGCACTGAAGCGTAAAGATGAACGCAATGCGCTTAAGGTTCTCCTTGGTCGTGAACAGGCTTTTCGCCGTCCCCAAAAATGACCGCGCTGATGAATGACCGTACTCTTCTTCTAGCTGTCTCTGTGCGCTGTTGATTTCATCTTGGACAGCAGGGTCAAAGGCCGATAAGTTCCAAAGGCTTCCCAGGGTCTTGGCTGCGTTATCCTGGCGACCCTTTTTACACATGTATCGAGGACTCTCTTCGCAGAAGATAGAGAATATGAGGAGCAACCCGGCCCACATGATCTGTACGCTGTGGGGGATGATCCACTGTTTCGAGCTCCAATCCGGGATGTGAATAGATGCGCCCCATATGGAGAAGTACTGTTTAGTTGGTTTTTAGCATAGAATTGGAAAGGATTTGAGCATGCTTGACATACCCCAATCATGATACCTAGGTATTCTGACATACCAAATAGGCCGATCATTATTCCACGCATTTCTCGAGGAGCCACTTCACCCAAGTACACCGGTGCCAGCACCTCAAACTGCCCGATTCCCATCCCCATTATTAAGCGGCCTGCGTAGAGTTGTCCAATTGTATGTGATGTCAAGAAGATAATGCATCCGATGGCCCAAATGACACATGCCTGTCGCATGGCCCAGAGTATTCCGATCTTTTCACTCCATAGGAACGCAAGAAAGGCACCGGACAGACAGCCGATGGTGACCATAGTTGTAACATTTGACTGTCGGTTCGCTTGTTCGACGGAGCTGAGATAATCAGCTTCAAGACCAAACTTGTCGATGAACGGTTTTTCGGCTATTGTGCTGGCGATGAGACCTTCGTCGAGACCTGTGTTCACCAATCCTTCAGTCAATTTCCATCATTCAACCTCGACAGTGTGTTCACGAACCTCGCGAAGTGCCTGACATTCCAAAGCACAAAGCCGCGCATAGCAGTTTTAAGGTAATTCTACCCGGGAATAGCGATGTGTTGGGCCCCTGCATCGTGATCCATGGCAGTTGGACAGTAGTTCTTGAAAGGGGGGGGTGCCACCTGTCGTGGAAATTGGACGTAGTGAAGGAGGGTAAAAGAGGGTGACACCGGACAGGGGGGGGATGACCTCTCACTTATTGGACTCCCACTGCCTGTGGGAGGATGGCCAGGGCCACTATTGATTTAATCTCCGTCCCTACCGACGTACGGGGATGGGGACAACCCTCCTTGCTACCTGCTGCCTGCATAGTCTCAGCCCTACCCGCTCCCACACTACTGCTCGCTGCACCCGATTGGACGAAAACCCCCTCGACCGGGGCACCCCCGCCGCTCAAGGTCCCCCGGTCTCTCGTAGGGCTGACGTGGTCTTTCCTTGTGTCTATTTTGGTTTCACTGGTCCGGTTATGAGGAACTGAGCTATCCATGGCATGTTATTGGCCTCTCCTCGCGTATCGCGGATCTTGGGAATTTGGTGACTCGTGGTTGTGTTGTTGGAAGAGTGAATTCTATTTCAAAACTCGACTTATCGAACTTTCAAGACCACCAATAAAACACCAGCCAGGTATGGGGAATAATGGAATTGGAACGCCAAAATACTTTCTGGTTAGAAAAACAATAAACACTCCGCAGAGCACCACAGCAGCAGCGTGGTCAGAAAGAAACAAGCTTTCTTCCCTAACTGTGCCGTATCTCCGTGCTGGATCCACTTCAGCCCTACGGGCACGACTGACCATTAGCAGTATTCTGATTGGTAGATAAGACATGTAGTGGATGCGCTAATCCTTTCGTACCTGGTTTTGGCTCCTTGGAAGAACAAGGGTGGAGGCCTGATCCTTCTCCCCCCTACGGAAAAGGCTCCTTATGCTGGAGCCTAGCCTGCCCTGTTTGGATGGAACGGAAAGGTTGGCGGTCATTTGAGACGTGTCTAAAAGATTACATATTCTTTTTACACTCTCAAAAACGTTCGAAGGCGGATTTTGGAATGATCTTGTCTATGTTGGTTGCCCATTTTGAGGGGTTCAAGCTGGCTCGACGAGGTCCCAGCATGCAATCCACATGTTTATCTCCGTCCTCCGTAGACCAAAGCAATGATTGGCCCTACTGCAGAGTAATGTTGCGAGATTTCATTCCCGTTGTTCGGCCACGTCAATTCCCGAAAAATCTGCTCTATGAGAACTGCACAGGTCAATATGGCAAGCGTTAAACTCTATGGTCCGGGAAATATGCATTGCCAACCGACACTCAGACACATCAGGCAGCCTCGGATTATTGTTGATCACCTCCTGTTCCCTCGAATCCCCGCGTTGCTCTTTTCTTCAAACTATACCCGATATGGGAGGTTTCCCGACGATCTCGGAGCGCTCCGTTTGCCCAAGGCTGCCAAGTTTTAAGATGACACTCAATTCAATTTTATTTTCTTACTTCAGTAACTTTTTTACAAGTTTCGCTTTGCTGTGTCTCCGGCAATCTATAGTTTGATGGATATTTGTTGGGAATGTTGGTGTATGAACACAGGTCAAGTTCTCGGTTATATATTTTGATACTTGAACCATCCCCGAATGAACACATGGGTACACGTTTGGCACCACGTAGCCCATGAGCTTGGTCTACAGTGATTATTTTCTGCATGACTGGGATATCTTGGAGAGCCCCCAAACTTTCAGCTTAAGGAGTAAATCATGTTTTTCTTGTTACCTATGATGGTCTTGGTACATACAATGATGATTGATTACACCCCCTCCGATAAAACCTTCACAACATAACGATTTGGGCACGGGAGCATCGAATCCCCCACACCTGCTCAAAACAAGGCCAACGAGCATGCCAAGTGGCAATGCAACCTCGAAGAATTACTGTTAGTCACTGGAATGGTCATTTGGCTGACATAAGTGTTCAACCCCGCATCCCAACAGTCGGCATTACTCATGGTTTATATTCTCCGCTTCCCCAAACTGATGTTCTGGGATCGATCCCATATCTCGAAGTCTAGAAGGGGTTGTAAACAGCTACAGAATGAACAAAGACGTGCAGTATATCCTGAGTCTCCAGGCTGTTCGTGAACGAGCCAATCACATCTTGGCCCTCGCCAAGGAGAATCGCCTCAACCATTTCGATTACCATGAGGACCGGCTTGATGGTGCTGTGCAGTATGTAGCTGGTATTATTAAGGTAAGTATATCAAGGAAAGCATATATAATATGGCAAGAGATATGCTGACGGAGCAGCACGACTACGGCCCGAACAATTTCCATGAAATCCCGCCTCATGGCCGTTGGCAACATTTTCAGGTGAGCTCCGTTGACCGTATCGGTAAGCTCCTGGGCCAATGGGAATCTGCTGGATACAACAAGACCGAGCAGGCGCGTGGTCTGGTGGATCTGTTCTTTGTGTCTGTCTTGCTTGATGCCGGGGCGGGAGACAAGTGGCGCTTCACGGAGCCAGACACCGGGCTTGTGCTGGGTCGTAGTGAAGGCATTGCGGTTGCCACGTTACATATGTTCCTGAAGGGACAGTTTTCTTCCGCTGAGTATGGACGCAAGGATGTGGTGCTCGGTTAGTTGCTGCAGGAAGACTTGGTAATTGGTTCAAGATCGAGTGCTAAAAGGGGACAGGTGAGACGTTGCGTGATTTCAGCGAAAACACGCTCCGTGAGGGATTTCAGATAACGGACGAGAATCCATTCGTCGGAGTCTCGGCAAGAGTAGAGCTCTTGAGATCCCTAGGTCGCTCGCTTCTCCGTCTCCCTGATGTATTCGGTGAATCCGGACGTCCGGGGTCGCTCGTCGGTACGTGGCTAGCGAAGTATACTTGAACCCATGATCAGCAGACAAGCTTATACCCCATCAGATTACCTCGTATCTCAAGCAGGCGATGGCAATACCATCGACTTTGGGATACTCTGGACCACACTCCAGAAAGTCCTTCTGCCCATCTGGCCCTCAACTCGAACGCAGTTGTCCGGTCACCCGGTCGGCGATGCCTGGCCACTGAAAGCGCTATCCGACCACCCGCCGTCTCCAAACTTACCATATCACACCATCCAACCCTTCCACAAGCTCACGCAATGGCTCGCATATTCTCTCATGGTTCCACTCGAGCGTCTGCTCGCCATGACCTGGAGGAACGCGGACATCGCCACCGGCCTCCCCGAGTACCGCAACGGCGGCGTATTCATCGACACGGGCGTATTAACACTGAAACCCGAAGCACTGGCTCGCGGCGTCAAGAACTCCGGTGTAGATCTGCCTGCTTTCGATGCCACTGCCGACGAAATTGTTGAGTGGCGCGCGTTGACGGTCGCTTTGCTTGATCGCGTGCATGAGGCCATCCAGCAGACGGATCTGGGACCGCAGCAGCTAACACTTCCGCAAGTGTTGGAGTCAGGAACGTGGAAGGCGGGGAGGGAGCTGGCGGCCGAAAAGAGGCCGGAGACACGGTCTAGTCCGATATTGATCCTGGGGGATGGCACGTTGTTCTAGTCTAGACGGTGTCAATAATCATACTTGTTTGACGCTTCATAGTCTCGGTTAAGTTCCGTGATCACGTAGAGGGCTAACTCTTGCCAGGACAACATAGATAGAACAATTAACAACAGTTATTGTCTGCAAAAACGTATCTATCGGGCACAGTTTTCTAAGATCTCCCTCTCTCGCCCCTGGAATGTAAACAACGCCTCAACTGGGAATGCGAACTGTGGTTAAGTGGCGGTTACATAAGCATCTCCAGCTGATCTTCAGTCGGTTAAAGTTTTTAAGGTGTGGCAATTGGGCGAATCTCCCCCTTTTCGAGAAAAACGATTGCAGACAGCAAGTCGAAAGCGAAAATTCTGATCTTACTCAGGTCTGTTTTATGAAAGTTTCGGCTTCCGCGGCTACGCAACTCATTCATCCCGCGCGACTCAGGTCAGGATCTCCGATCAGCGTTGTTCTCGGTACACGACCGTTTCGTGGAGAGCAGCAAAAAGAGGTTTAGTTCCGGTGTGGTAAATCGCTCGTTCCCTCAGCTCGGTGTACTCGTAACTGCTCCCGCACTCTCCCACCGTGAGTCCGTACATCGTAGTCCGTTCCCTCAGGTTTTGGCGGGGGTGGGAAACCGGCTTTTACATTTGTTTTTATTTGTTCTTTCTGGTCTACTCAGTTCATGCATGATGCCGTCATGGGTTGTTTTCTTCTAATATCTGACTACTTGACATGGATTTTGTATTTTTTCTGTGTCGTATGGTTATTTTCTGTCATGAGAATCTATTAGCGAATCAAGGAGAAAGAGTAATTTAGGCTGGACTGACAATCAACTTGTTGTCTACGTAGGCCATCGGCACACGTCGAGTCTCGCCTCGCTTGAGGCAACGGACAGGAGATGCTCACTAAGAGTAATAGTAATCTCTATATTACCCATGACTAGTGGTACACTACATCCCACGCCGGTGGATAAAAGATCCGAGAGAATAAATGAATTACCCACCTCTCACACCGCAAACAGTACGGAGGAATGAATCGCATTAATGCACCGTTTTGTGATTGACAGGCACAGTCAAGGGGACAGAAACATCAGATCGAACAATTTGCCACCATCTCCAGAGCCAGAGTGACAGGAACGTTCCAAACAAGATAGTCTAATATGATTGAGGGTATCCGTCACGAGGGCAGGATGTCAGACCATAGATCGAAACAGGGAGTGATGCTGTCAGTTCCAAGAGACGAAAAGAATCGGTCAGCCGTCATCAGTTCTCCAATTCCCAGGTCCCAGGTCCCATGACCCTGACTCAACCCGTTGAGAACTGAACCGGGCTGGCACGGCATTGGCGCCAGACAACCAAATCCAAGCCAGCTATGTCATCGCACCGTACATTCTCGGACGCAGAGCCAAAATCAGATTTTGCTTCCTACCACATTCGGATTCCAATGCGAGTGGGTCTGGTGCACGGTGGAACCCAAAGCTTGGCTGCCTCACTTTCCGTCTCTTATTTTCTCTTCTATATGTCTCAATTTTGACCTCAGTAGTGAAATGCCGA